TTACTTCTGGCACCCGGGCTGGAGTGCAATAGCAGGATCTCAGCTCACTGTAACTTCCACCTCCTGAGTTCAAGTAATTCTCCTGCCTCAGCCTCCCAAGTAGCTAGAACTGTAGGTGCACACCACTGCACCCAGCTAATTTTTGTAATTTTTGTAGAGATGTTATTTCATCACATTGCCCAGGCTGGTCTCCAGCTCCTGACCTCAAGTGATCCACCTGCCTTGGCCTCCCAAAGTGCTGGGATTACTGGCGTGAGCCACTGCACCCAGCCCCTGTCATTGTTTTTCATAATCGTGCCAGATTGAAAAGGCTTTTTGCCTTGGGCAAGCTCCAAGGCAGATCAAATGCAGTCTAGCAAGTCAGGTGTTACAGAGAACCACCAAACACTTCAATTGTGATAATTCCTGGAAATAAAGCTTTAAGGGAGATCCAGCTCTTCTGCTTCCTCCAGTAGCTGTTGGGTTGCTGGTGTTCACCGTGAATGTGAACTTTAATTTTCTGGGTTACTGTGGAACTGCCAAGCAGGAGACAAGAGAAAGAAAAATTAAACTGCCACGAAACTCACTGCTCTGAGATTACACTGGTTTGTTTTTGTTTGTTTTTCTAGAAGGAATATCCTCTGGATTATTACAAGCTTTTAGCTAATTTCCTGAGGTCTAAAAATGTTAATGGGCCAGGCGCAGTGGCTCATGCCTGTGATCCGACCACTTTGGGAGGATTGCTTGAGCCCAAGAGTTCAAAACCAGCCCGGGCAACATAGCAAGACCTCCACTCTACAAAAATGAAAACTTTAGCCAAGTACAGTGGTGCACACCTGTAGTCCCAGCTATTTAGGAGGCTGAGGTGGGAGGATCACTTTTAAGTCCAGAAGTATGAGGTTGCTGTGAGCTATGATTGCATCACAGAACTCTAGCCTGGGCAACAGAGCAAGACCCTTTCTCTTAAAAAAAATGATAATAGTAAAAATCAAAATGGTAATGGTGACCATTTGTTGCCAGTTTTCCCATTTTTTCGTAGAAAGAATTTTTGGAGGTCTTTCATCTGCCCTTTTCTCCAAAGTCATTCACTCAGCTGCATTTTTAGAAAAACCTAGGGCCATAGTACATGACTAGTTATCCCTGGATGTTTGTGATAGTCACAATTCAGCATAAATTATATCTCAGATGAAAACTTTTCTTGCAGTGATATTCATAGCATTCAGTCAAATATATGAAATTAAACCTAAGAACAGGCCAGATGCAGTGGCCCAGGACTGTAATCCCAGCACTTTGGGATGCTGAAGTGGGAGGATCATTTGAGACCAGGAGTTTGAGGCCACCCCTGGCAACATAGTGAGACCTCATTTCTACAATAATAAAAAATAAATAACTGAATTAGCTGGGTGTGGTGATGCATACTGGCAGTCCCAGCTGTTCTGTCAGCAGAGGTAAGAGGGTTACTTGAGCCTGGGAGCTTGAGGCTACAGTGAGCTGTGGTTCTGCCACTGCACTCCAGCCTGGGAGACAAAGTGAGACCCTCCACCCCGCCTCCCAAAAAGGAAGAGAACCTAATTTTAATGGGAATTTCCCTAAAATGTTATACTGAATACTATGGCCTGGTAACTTCGGTTAATATTGGCAACATTCTATGATTGAATTTACATGTTAGATGGCTCTTTTTCTCCCCAGGCAGGGTCTCGGTCTGTCACCTAGGCTGGAGTGCAGTGGCATGACCATAGCCCACTGCAGCCCCTACCTCCTGGGATCCAGTGATGTTCCCACCTCAGCCTCCTGAGTAACTGAGACTACAGGCACACGCCAGCATGCCTGGCTGGACCTTTGCTTTTTTGTATTTTTCCTCCAACTTTTGATTTAAAATATTCTTATATGTAAAAGTTTATAACGCAGAGTTTGGATATTTAATTTACCATGATTCTTGTGCTTACAAATTTATTTAATTCAGCTGGGTGAGGTGACTCACGCCTGTAATCCCAGCACTTTGGGAGGCCAAGGCATTTGGATCACCTGAGGTCAGGAGTTTGAGACCAGCCTCACCAACCTGGTGAAACCCCGTCTCTACTAAAAATACAAAAATTAGCCAGGCATGGTGGTGCACGCCTGTAATCCCAGCTAATTGAGTGGGTGAGGTAGGAGAATCACTTGAACCTGGGGGGGGAGGTTGCAGTGAGCCAACACTGGGCCATTGCACACCAGCCTGGACTACAAGAGCAAAACTCCATCTCAAAAAAAATGGTTTAATTCATTCTCTAATGAAAGAGAAAGTGATTTTAAAATCAAATGAGTATTTTTGGCCATGTAGAGTTTCTCAAAGAAATTTTTTTGTAGAGATAGCGTCTTCCTCTGTCACACAGGTGGAAGTACAGGTGGCATCACAGTTCACTATAGCTCAAATTCCTGGGCTCGAGTATCCCTTCTGCCTCAGCCTCTGAAGTAGCTGGGACTACAGGCATATGCCATTACACCTGGTCTTGGTCCTCATAACTAGGCAGCCTGGATTTGAATCCTGACTCCATCCCTCACCAGCTGTGTCTTTGCATCCCAGGTTTCTCATCTACAAAATGAGTGCTGTTATAGTTTGCTGTAAGGATGCATGAAGAAGCGTTAGCACAATGCCCGCACCGAGGAGATGTCTGGTAAGCGTGAATGGGCATTAATGGTGCATCTGTTCAGGCATTTATAGTTCAAGAAACACTCACTCAACATATGCTGCATGATTTTAATCCTCATACCAGCCCCGTAAGAATTTGTTATGAAAATAAAATGAGGCTCAAAGAGGTTATTTCACTTGCCCAAGACTACACAGCTACCCAGTGGCAGAACCAGAACAGAACTGTCTGGTCCTAGGCACCTGTATTTCTGCCACCACTGTTCCTAACAAGCCTGTGTAGGCTGGTAAAAGATGCTTTTTATATTAAAGTACACAGAACAAATATATAGCTCAATAAAATAATTAAAAAGTGAAGGTCCCTTGTAGTTCCAGCCACTCTGGAGGCTGAGGCAGGAGGATTGCTTTAGCCCAGGAGTTGGAGGTTGTAGTGCACAAGGATGGCACCTGTGAGTAGCCACTGCACTGTAGCCTGGGCAACAGAGCAAAACCTTGTCTCTAAAAAGAAAGAAATAAATACATAGAAAAGAACTTTTGCAGCCAGGCGTGGTGGCTCACGCCTGTAATCCCAGTGCTTTAGGAGGCCAAGGTGGGAGGATCATGAGGTCAGGAGATTGAGACTAGCGTGGCCAACGTGGTAAAACCCTGTCTCTACTAAAAATACAAAAATTAGCTGGACGTGGTAGCACATGCCTGTAATCCCAGCTACTCAGGAAGCTGAGGCAGGAAAATTGCTTGAACCTAGGAAGCGGAGGTTGCTATGAGCTGAAATGGCCACTGCACTTCAGCCTGGCCATACAGCAAGACTCTCTCAAAAAATAAGAAAAAAGAAAAAAACTGGACACCTATTTTTCACCATATACAAAAATTAACTCAGATTAAAAATTTAAGACCTCAAAAACTACAATAATCCTGGAAGAAAAACTTCAGAAGTACCATTCTGGACATGGGCTATGGGAAATAATTTATGACTAAGTCTTTAAAAGAAATTGCAACAAAAGTTGACAAGTGGGACCCAATTCAACTAAAGTGCTGCCTGCCACACAGCAAAAGAAACCATCAACAGAGTAAACAGACAACCTACAGAATGGGGGGAATTAGTCACAAACTATGCATCTAACAAAGGTCTAGTATTTCAGATGCTATAAGGAACTTAAGTCAACAGCAAAAAACAACCCCATTTATAAAGGGGCAAATAAACACTTCTCAAAAGAAGACATACATGCAGCCACCAAACATGAAAAAATGCTCATCATCACTCATCACGAGAGAAATGCAAATCAAAACCACAATGAGATATTATCTAACACCAGTCAGATAGGCTGTTTTTAAAAAGTCAAAAAATAGCAGACACTGGCAAGGATAAGGAGAAAAGGAAAGCAGTTTGGAGATTTCTCAAAGAACATAAAACAGAACTAACATTCAGCCTGGCAATCCCATTACTGAATATGTATCCAAAAGAAAACAAATCATTCCACCAAAAAGACACATGCACTCGTATGTTTATTGCAACACGAGTCACAATAGCAAAGACATGGGATCAACCTAGGTGCCCCTCAACAGTGGACTGGATAAAAATGTACATATAGACGATGGAATACTATGCAGCTACAAAAGAATGAAATTATGTTCTTTGTGGGAAAATGGCTAGAGCTAGAAGCCATTAGTTGAACTAGTGTAGTAACAGAAAACAAACGCTTCATGTTCTTACAAGTAGGAGCTAAATTCTGAGTACCCATGGACGTAAAGATGGTGACAATAGGCATTAGAACCGCCAGGAGTGGGAGGGAGGAAGGAAAAGGTTGATAAACTGCTGAATACTATGTTCAGTACCTGGGTGTTGAGATCTTTCATACCCCAAACCTCAGCAGCACACAATATACCCAGGTAACTAACCTGCACATGTACACCCTGAATCTAACATAAAAGCTGAAAAAGAAAAAACAGAATGGAATCTCTATTTTCAGAATATCAGTTGTGCCCCTCTTCCATTTGAAATTCTCACTATTGGCTATATTTGGGGGTATCCTATTTCCCCATCTCATAGCTTATTTTAAGAAGTACAGAATAGGCCGGGCGCGGTGGCTCAAGCCTGTAATCCCAGCACTTTGGGAGGCCGAGACGGGCGGATCACGAGGTCAGGAGATCGAGACCATCCTGGCTAACACGTGAAACCCCATCTCTACTAAAAGATACAAAAAACTAGCTGGGCGAGGTGGCGGGCGCCTGTAGTCCCAGCTACACAGGAGGCTGAGGCAGGAGAATGGCGTAAACCTGGGAGACGGAGTTTGCAGTGAGCTGAGATCCGGCCACTACACTCCAGCCTGGGCAACAGAGCGAGACTCTGTCTCAAAAAAAAAAAAAAAAAAAGTAGTACAGAATAATGTGTGGGTTTGGGATTCAGTTTTTGAAATAAAACACTGAGCCTTCAGTGACCTTCCTGAACATGTAAAAGCACAGCTGTCTGCATGGCAGCAGTTGTACCTCACAAGGTGGATTGTGCCTTTACCCTGGAACGTTTATGATGCCCTATCACCATGGTGGTGGGATTAGGGATCTCTTGCCCTTGGTCGTAAGTGGCACTGTCTGTGCTGAGTTTTCCAAAGGTCAGAGCAGATTGAACTTTTGTGCTTTCGTTTTTCCTGATTTTGACTTTCCTTATGGGGAACCGGTTTTCCTGCTTTCAAGGTATGTTCATACTGGCCTGTCAAATAGGCCAAATGCTGTCTTTTCAAATTACTAGTTAATACTTTCAAATACGTTATTTAAAAAATTATCCTCTGTATTTTCCATATGGAGTTATAAATACGTTTTGTGGTTATGTTTTATTTCTCACTTTATATATTTGATTCTTATATCAAGCAGGGTGCCTTTGAACTTTTTCTTCATTTAAAAAATAATGTATCATTTCCTTTTACATCCTACACCCTTCAATGCTCCCTGACCCAAATTAAGTTATTCCCTTGAGGAGAATATGTCAAAGTCTATTTTAATGTAGTTTTTAACCTAATTAAGAACCTATGAAATCATTACTTTCAAAAAGTTTGGAGCAAAGCCACAGTAGTACAGATGGGTTTGAGGCTTTTCACACAATAAAATATACCTATCTTTGTTTTTAACATGTTTTTCCCTCCTCTCTTCTTTTGTTGTGAAATGTGTATTTCATTTAATAAATTTGTAGTAAGTCATGTCCATTCACATATTAATTTTAAAAAGTAATAAGAACGTGTATTGTCTGTATGTGAAATAAAACACACACTTATTTTTATGCTTTGGGAGTTACCCAAAATCATAGAATTGGAAATTATAGTCAACACAGAAAGATAAACAGAATCAATTGGTAGAGACTAAGAACATACAGTTTTATTTATACTCAGAAACAAGTAGATATGTACGTATACATGAAGATAAAAATTAAAGGGATGATTGTGTGAGTTTGCACGGAGAGAGCTTTGGAAACCTGCTGACTTGTTAATGCTGTTTGGATGGACTGTGTGCCCCGGTTCTCCCGAGCCGTCATCCAGACCTCTGTGCAGGAGCTCAGTGCTCATCAGTTCTGTGACTTGGAAAGTGTCTAAGTTTAGAGGCACTTGTATGTGTTAGTAAATAAGGCAAGATGATACCGTTTCACAGGTTTTAGTGCAGAAGACTGAATAGATAAACTGCTCCACCCAGTACACTGGTGTTCATTTCATGGTCATCTCATCTGTTGACCATGGATGTAAAACACTTATCTTCAGTGACCTTCCTGTGCATGTAAAAGCACAAGTGTCTGCATGGCAGCAGTTGGACCTCACAAGGTGGATTGTGCCTTCACCCTGGAGAGTTTGTGATGCCCTATTGCCATGGTGACGGAATTAGGGATCTCTTGCCCTTTGCTCTGCCACCGTTTGTGCCAGCCAGGCCACTGGGCCATTGTGGCAGACAGTGGTGTCCTTTGTGTGGAGGACACTGAGTGTGCGCTCAGACACACACAGCACTTTTGACAACTTTATCTAATTATTTCAAAACTGGGTCTGAATTATGATAAAAGTGGTTGGTTTTAGGCCAAGCAGGTGTATCTCACAGAACCAATGGCTTGGGAGTTCAGAATCCTGGGTTTGAATGAGCCTCTGAGCTCTGAGCTGTGAAATCTAAAGCAAGACATTTCACTGATAGTTAAGCCTCATGAGCACTTGCACTGTACAATTTATCTACATCGAATCATTCAGCCATCACCACAGACATATGGCATGATTGATTTACTATCACCTTTCACTGGGCAAAAAAAGAGATGAACGTGCCCAAGCTTATGAGCCCCAAGATGGGAACCCAAGTGCTGAGGCTCTGAAGTACCGACCTGTCCTCAGCACTCAGCCGTGGGATCATGAGTCACTGTGCAAGGGAGTTCCCACATCTGCATGTATGTGTGGAATGATCTGAACCTGCAGAGTTCTACACACCATCCACATTATAGGGTGGTGTCCGTGGTCACATAGCTCAGGGCAAGTATTAGTACATGAATAGCTTAGCTGTGTCATAGTCTTTATGTGAAAGGCACATAAAAGCCCAAATGCTTTTGAACTGGTTGCGGATTTTGAGTTGGAGGACAACACTTGGGACAACCGGTCACATTCTTTCAGTGCTTGGCCACTCCTCAGCACATAAACCAAAGCCAATACATAATGGGAAGACCCTTTATTGATATTTGATGGCATTATGAACTTCAAATGACCCCTGTAGAAATGTTAAAAAAGTCTGTGAGCTACACAACCTGGGGACGAGACAAGTAAGAACACAAAATACCACGTAATCATTAGCCTCATGTATCACTCTGGTAGCAACTCCCTTGGCAGCTGGTTTGAAGAGCCTCAGTGCTCACCAGGGGCCATCTCCCTGCTATGCCCTCTTTCCCTGTGGGTTGCCTGGACTGAACATAGGCAGCCCCTCACACGATGACTGCAAACACAAGGCAAAGGAAGGCTAACAGTGGTTATTTTAAAATATAAGTATTTCAGTATTTTCTAACCTTTAATAATTGATTATTTTTAGGGGAGGGTGGGCCTTTTTTTTTTTTTTTTTTAAACAAAGTCTTGCTCTGTCGCCCAGGCTGGAGTACACTGGCATGATATTGGCTCACCGCAACCGCTGCTTCCTGGGTTCAAGCGATTCTCCTGCCTCAGCCTCTGAAGCAGCTGGAACAACAGGCGCATGCCACCATGCCCGGCTAATTTTTTGTGTTTTTAGTAGAGATGAGATTTCACTGTGTTAGCCAGGATGGTCTTGATCTTCTGGCCTCATGATCTGCCTGCCTTGGCTTCCCAAAGTGCTGGGATTACAGGCGTGAGCCACTGCACCTGACCTTTTTTTTTTTTTCCTGAGATGGAGTCTCACTCTGTTGCCCAGGCTGGAGTGCAATGGCACGATCTCAGGTCACTGCAACCTCCACCTCCAGGTTTGAGGGATTCTCCTGCCTCAGCCTCCCGAGTAGCTGAGATGACAGGCACACATCACCATGCCTAATTTTTTTTTTTTTAATAGAGACACAGTTTCATTATGTTGTTCAGGCTGGTCTTGAACTCTGGATCTCAAATGATCCACCCGCCTTGACCTCCCAAAGTACTGGGATTACAGGTGTGAGCCACCATACCTGGCCGATTATTTTTTTAACGAAGAAAATAAATATAATTAATGCTAGTGCTTGGAATTAAATCTAGTTTTTAAAAAAATCACACATAAACAAGATCAGAACACTATACCCTCCATGATAAATGCAGTAGCAGTGTATGTGGGTCTGTGGAGGTTGAAAGGGACTTGGTAGATGTCAAGAAGGTAGTGGCCATCCTGCTGGTCTTTTAAAGGGTCTGAAGAAGTGACAGGACGCTGTGGTTGAATCCTAGCGTGTATTTTAGTATTTGTTCATTTGGAGTTTGATTATTTCACATTGCTTTCATTTGCTATTACCTGGAAAGGCAAGGGCTCTACTCCCATTTCCTTCCTGCTCTTTTTTGTCTTCCTTGGTCCATGAAGAAGATGGTCCAGGAGAAGCTCAATCTGTGCTTGTTAACCAGGCACACCCCTAAGTTCTAGTCCCTTAGTCATTCATGAATAGCACCGCCAATGAACTGACAGCCATGCATGTCCTTCCACATCCCCTAGGTGACTCGAAGAAGCCTTCCAAAAAGCATGTGAAAAGGGAGCCCTGCTCTACCACTACGGTAAAGTAGCTTGTCTTTGCCTAAGATGTAAATGTTGTTTTCTTGGTTCCTTTATTTTTCAGTTGATATCAGCTATGGGAAAATTAACCGGTACATTATAGATGTTAGATAATATTTCCTTGGGAATGGAGGAGGTGTATCTTACCAACTGACGCCTGATTCCAGAGGACGACCACAGTTGGCAGTGTCAGACAGTACAGGGTGTGTTAAGGGATATTTTCTTCAGGAACAAGTTTTCCACTTTAGATAAGAATTCTGTCATTGCCACCCAAAAATTATCTAGACAGAAGCATTCTTCAGGAAAAGCCCCTGTGCTTTCTTAAGGGAACTCTACTCTAGAGTTGAGGCTTTTGACTTGGACATTCTTTCCCACCTTCATTACTCAGTTTCCAAGTGAACAGAAGACCTGTGCGAACCATCCATAGCATGGCCTCATTCTCAGAGTGTTTCCTTCTCTAATTACAGGTGACTTCTTCGAGCACAATCAATGGTACGTATTCTGGAATCACTCACTGGCTGTTAGAGAAAGATTCTATAGGAAATGTGGAGCCTAACTGCTGGCTTTTGCCTGGAGAGCCTCCATGATCCAAGACCCCGGGGGAATGAGGATGTGGGGTGTAGTAACAGAAACTGGTTTTCCAGGTGACAAACTCCTTTTATCTATGTATAGTTCCTGGGAACGTGCTCACATTAGGTTGTGTGGGAGTGTGTATTAGTGCGGGGTGGGGGTGGTCTATGTGCAAGTCTGCATGATTCGCTTGTGAATGTGTGTCTGTGTGTGTTTCCCCCAGGAAAAAAATGTGTTTACCCAGCACAACTCTCAGTGCCATTTTTCTTAATTTAACAAATCAGACCACATACTTTACTTATATTAGTTCAAACCTCCTCATGGACATATGTTGTTAGCTTGTTTATTGAACCCCCATACCAGATGGAGAAACTAAGTTACAGAAGTAAATGTGCCCCTGCTCACTTGCTACGAAGTGAGGAGCCAAGATGTTTACTCATATGGTCCCAGTGTTGAAGGCCTGAACTACAGCCTCTATTTATCAACCAGTGAAGGGATCACTTCACCATGCAAGGGAGCTCCAGCACCCTCTATGCCTGGAATTACCCAAGCCTGCAGAGATCCCAAACGCCATCCCTCACATAAGAGAGCCTCAGTGATCTCAGAATCCAGATAGCTATGTAGGCATCTCCCTGCAGGTTTCACGTAGTCCTTAGTGTGAAACCGACATAGAAAGCCCATATTTCTGATGAAATCACAGGTTCTGAAACACTAAGGGAGTTACTAAGTAGGACAGTGTGGTGCCTGCATGTCATGGCTGGGTCTCCTCAAGACATGGCTCAAGTCCAATAAGAATTGGGGAGATGCTTTAGAGTCTTGGATGGAGTTATCACCACAAGCCCTCTGAGCTACACACTTTAGGGATCATGATCATTAAGTACTCAAATTACCACTTGATGGTTATCCGGGTGTCTGTCGTCCTTGTGGCAACTCTCTTGTGAAGCTGGTGGGAGAGTGTCAGTGCTGGAGCTGTGCCTTCCTTCTGGATGGACCCTCCCTGTGTTAGCAGGTGGGTGCAGGCATGGGGGTCAGCACGCTCAGTGGATTTACACACACAGCATTGAGCAGTAAGGCTGGGCTTCATTATTTACACATTTTCAATAACTGATGATCTTCATAATGTAAAATCAATGATTTACTATACTAGAATACTGTTCCAGTATTGAATCATATGTCTCAATAAAGGATTTGTAAAGTCACATGAGAGTTCCCATTCAACTGATGATACGAGCCGTAGCAGCAGTTAAAGCAGTCATTTGAAAAGGCTTTTACTGTAAACTTATGGGTGAGCCTGAAGTGGGGGATAGAAGAGGTGATTAGCTCCCTTGTGCAATGTTTCTATTACATGAGTGGTGGAGGACAATTAGGAAGGTGATGGAGGGAACAGAGCAAAGGATTGGACAGGTCCAGTGAACCCATAAGACTATGGTGAGGTTAGTGAATGAGACTGGTCATTTTAAGTCAAATTTTACCTTGTGTGTTCTTTCCATGCTTTCTTCCAGTAGTTCCTTCTATTTCTCATTAACTAGAGTTGTGCTGGGTAAACATGTTTTTCCTTGGAGAAACTCACATAAAAGAGGGCAAAGCTTTGTAATAACATAAAAGTTAGTACAGCTGTGATAGCTCAAATTTTATAAAATACTGGGGGCTTTTGCCTGAGACCTGGATGACAGTTGTGTAAGAATCGGGGGTTCCTCTGAAGACTATTGGGCTTCTGAGAAGAAAGATCTAAGTTGTCTCTTGTATGATATGGAGTCAGTCTTCACCGCCTGTGGTCTGTCTGAGAGGGGTGTTGAGTGCTCAGTGAACTCTGTGGTCTTCCTGAAACCCAACTTTGATTCAGCGGGCTCTGCTTGAAAGCCTTTAAAGAGCAGGATCATAAAATTAAACTTAGAACAGATTATCACTATTTTCCCTCTGGTCTTCTGTCAGCAAGATTGCAACAGTCCTCTCTATTGTAAATGCATTAACCAGCATCTTCTCTGATAGAAATTTTGAGAAGATACAGCCTGTACACCACCCAACGTTGGAGGCATCATGGCTTCTGGGGAAGGAAGAAGGTACACCCACAAGAAGGTACTGTGGAAGTTCATTCATTAAGTTGATTCAATAATCACCATTGTGGGGAGTATTCAGTGTCCCCTATGTAAGAGGAATCTGTGAAAAGATTAACCCGTATTTTTTAATGTGTCAGAATTCTAATTTGCTTAGTAAGTATTGCCACAACTACAAAAGTAAATATACACTTAAAAGTCAATTTTGGTTCATGTTTAATGATGGACAATGTTTCAAGCTAATGTCTAGAACTTACCTGATTGTTAAACATTAGCATAGATCTCCCTGAAAGATAATAAATAAATTTTTATTATTTATAATAAATAAAAATTTATTATTTTAAAATTAATATATTTCTTTAACTAGAGAGTTTTAAATTGACATAAAAATTCAGCATATGGCTGGGCATGGTGGTTCATGCTTATAATCCCAACACTTTAGGAGGCCAAGGCGGGCAGATCACCAGAGGTCGGGAGTTGGAGACCAGTCTGGCCAACATGGTGAAACCCCTTCTCTACTAAAAATACAAAAAATTAACCGGGTGTGGTGGCAGGCGCCTGTAATCGCAGCTACTCAGGTGGCTTAGGCAGGAGAACTGCTTGAACCTGGGAGGCAGAGGTTGCAGCAGGCCATGATCACACCATTGTACTCCACCCTGGACAGCAAGAGCAAAACTCCATCTCAAACAAAAAAAAATTGAGCATATAATACACAAAGTTCCCATATCCTTCTGTCCCGTCACCCTCACTTCCTAATTTCATCTATTATTAACATCTTACATTAATGTGGTACATTTGCTAAAAGTAATGAGAAAATATTGACATATTATCTGGAGTCTATCATTTACATAACATTCATTCTTTGTTACCCATTTAATATGACGTTTGAAAATTGGTAACATTATGTTCACCATTATGTTCTCATAAAGAATATGTTCATCTCCCTAAAAATCCCTTCTTCTCGCTCATTAATCTCTGTCCTCTTTCTCCAGAAACCTTGACAACTATTAATATTTTCACTGTGGGCTGGGTGCGGTGGCTCAAGCCTGTAATTCCAGCACTTTGGGAGGCAAGGTGGGCAGATCACGAGGTCAGGAGATCGAGACCATTCTGGCTAACACGGTGAAGCCCCGTCTCTACTAAAAAAATACAAAAAACTAGCCGGGCAAGGTGAGGGGCGCCTGTAGTCCCAGCTACTCCGGAGGCTGAGGCAGGAGAATGGCGTAAACCCGGGAGGCGGAGCTTGCAGTGAGTGGAGATTGCACCACTGCTCTCCAGCCTGGGCGACAGAGTGAGACGCCATCCCCCCCCCCCAAAAAAAAATATTTTCACTGTGGCTTTAGTTTTGCCTTTTCCAGAATGTCATATAGTTGGAATCATATGTAGGTTTTTCAGATAAATGTATTTCACTAAATTGATATATATTTAGGCTTTCTTGTCTTTTTTATGCCTTAATGGCATAAAATGCATATTAAATCACCAAATAATACTGCATTAAATGGATTTCTGTCTTTATTTACCTCTTGAAGAATTTGGTAGATTTCATGAGAGAAACCATCCTAGTCTGGTGCTTTCCTTTTCGGAATGCTCTTAATGTGAATTCAACTTATTTAATAGACACAAGCTTATTCAAATTATCTAGGATTCTAGTGTGACCTTGGGAAGAGTGTTTTTCAAGGACCTGACACATTTCACTGAGGTTATCAAACTGTGGTCATAGAATTGTTCATGATACTCCCTGATTATCCTTTTAGTGCTCAATGGTTCGTTCAGTCGAGATGGCTCCTCTATTATTTCTGAAATTGGTTTTGTTCATTTTGTTGAAGTTCTTCTGGGGGGGGGGTGGTAGCTGGGGGGGGGGGTCCGGTCAGGATGGACCATGGTGACGTCTCTAAAAAGAAAAATTAGCGGTGCAGTGGGGCGCTGTAGCCAGCTCTGGGGGGGGGGGGGGGGGGGGGTGAGGCGGATTGCGATGACCAGCTGGGCGAGGGACTGTCAAAAAAAAAAAAAAAAGAAGTTCCTTCATTGTAATGAGCACGTCAAAGAACCAGCTTTTGGTTTTAATGATTTTCTGATGATTTCAGCGTTTTAATTTTATTGACTTCTGCAATGTTGTTTATTACGTGTTCTACTTGCTTTACATTGCATTCCTTTATTTTCTACAGTTTCCTACTTGAAACATGATATTACTGATTTTAGATCTTGTGATTTTTAATATATTGCATCCAATGCTATAAATTTCCCTCTACGGACTGCGTTTGTTACATCTAGAAATCTTGTCAAGTCACATTTTCATTTAAGGTAGTTAAAGGTATTTTTAACTTTCTATTGAGACTTCTTCTTTAACCCATGAGTTACTTAAAAGTGCAATGCTAATTTGCAAATATTTGGGGATTTTTCTGGCTTTTACAGTTGATTTTTTGTTGTCAGGTATGTGTTGCAAAAGCAGTGATCTCTCATCTTGCCACCACCCAAGATGGCCCAGGATGTGGGCTCTCCTTGAATGAATGTTTGGTAATCTGCCAACCGGATGTGGTCGGCCTCCTCCTCTTTTTTTTTTTTTTTTTGAGACGGAGTCTCGCTCTGTCGCCCAGGCTGGAGTGCAGTGGCCGGATCTCAGCTCACTGCAAGCTCTGCGTCCCGGGTTTACGCCATTCTCCTGCCTCAGCCTCCCGAGTAACTGGGACTACAGGCGCCCGCCACCTCGCCCGGCTAGTTTTTTGTACTTTTTAGTAGAGACGGGGTTTCACCGTGTTAGCCAGGATGGTCTCGATCTCCTGACCTTGTGATCCGCCCGTCTCGGCCTCCCAAAGTGCTGGGATTACAGGCTTGAGCCACTGCGCCCGGCCTGCCTCCTCCTTTAGTCTGAGCTTGCCTTCTGCTTAGAAAGGGCCATTCTCAGTTCTAGCAGGGAGTTTTCCCAAAGTTGAGAAGGTGACATTCTTACTCCCCAGTGCAGCCGGTACCTCTGACCCGTGGTCAACAGACAGGACAGACACGGGCAGGCTCTGTCCTAAAACAGAAGGAACTGTGCGACCGTCGTGATTGGAAATTTGTGAGGATCACCGTGTTACTCAAGTAAGGTCTTTGGAAGTGTCGTATTACTACTGTTTGTTAACTGCTTGTTGGTGGCCTGGCTGAGCCACACCCTTATGAAAACCAGTACCCGTCAGCCAATGTGGGTGTCTGTGCAGCCTGAGACCCTCATGAGAACAGCCTCATGGCAGCTGTCTTTTCCCCTTGCCACCATCAGTGCCTCCATGTTCCTGGGCACTGCTTTCTCTGATGGGTGCTGGGTGCTCCACTGTTTTCCTGCACCTCAGTGTCTATAGCTGGATGTCTCTTCTGGAATCTAGGTGAGGGGGCATCAATAGCAGTTCTGCTGTGGCACTGCCCTCCTTCTTAGCTTGTCTCGCTGTGTCTCAGGCTCCCTCAAAGATGTCACCCTTCAGGATCTTCCACAAGTTTCCTATTGAAATCCAAGCAGAAAAATATGAGCAATATGACCAACCGTATACCCATTGAAGACATGAATGAAGAATTAAAACAATTCTCCATGGACTGTACCTCATATAAATCCCTAGAAGTAGTTTCTTAAAAAAAAAAATCAAGGAAGATGTAATGCTTTTCCATGAATTAGAATACCCTACATGAACAATTAAATGAAATGGCTAGCATAGTCTTGAAACCAAAACCAGATAAGGTAAATTAAATCCTGTGATATTTTAAAATACTGTAAATTCTGACTAATGCAAGTTAATCTCAAAATATGAAATGGTGTATTAACATTGAAGATGCAGTAAAGTAGCTACCTCAAGAGGTTAATGGAGAAACAATGTGATTATTACAATAGATTGAGGAAATTCATGGATAATATTCACCATATATTTACAGGACAACTATCTTATAAACTTTAAGTGATCTATGACAACCATTTGAATTAATGCTGCTTTAGCAGCATATCTTTTGGCTTGTTAAAAACTGGACAAGAATTTTCATAACATTTATTTTTAACACCTATATTGGGCATGAACCCATCATAAAGTTTGCCCACTGAAAATGTATACAATTTGATGTTTTATTACATTGATACTGTGTGCACCCATCACCACGATCTAATTTAAAAATGTCTCCCTCACCCAAGTTCTTGCCCACTGGCAGTTAATCCCCACTCCCATCTCCAGCCCTGAGCAGTGCTGCTATGATATTCCATCTCCATAAATTTCCCGCTTCCTTAATAGAAACGGACATATATATATATATATATTTGGAATCTGACTTCCTTCATTTAGCATACTATGTTTGAAGTTAGTTGACGCTTTAGCACGTGCTGGTCGTGTGTTTTCCTTCATAGTCTGCTGTGTTTATTCATACAGATAGTGTTTATTCATTTATCAGTTAATGGACATTTAATTACTGTTTTTTTCTATGATGAGTAATGCAGCTTTGAGCATTCATATGTAGTCATGTAATGCATAATGATATTTTGGTCAATATATACATTTTTTGAGACCCAGAGTAGAGTGCAGTGGCACAATCTTGGCTCACTGTAACCTCCACCTTCCGGGTTGAAGCAGTTCTCATGCCTCATTGTTCTGAGTTGCTGGGGCAACAGGCACACACCACCATGCCAGGATAATTTTTGTATTTTCATTAGAGACAGGGTTTTACTGTGTTGGCCAAGCTAATCTCAAATTCTTAGCCTCAGGTGATCCACCCACCTCTTCCTCTCATAGTGCTAGGATTATAGGCATGAGCCACCATGCTTGGCCTAAGTTTTTTAAGAAACAGAACTATTTTTTAAATTAGCTTTGCCAATTTATATTTCGACCATGATTCATAGCACTAATTTCATTGCACAGTGTATGGTAGGCCTCAACATGTAAGAAATGATGAAGGGGGGGGGCTCAAGGTAATCCAGACTTGGGGGGAGGGGGGATCACTAGGTGGAGATGAGACATGGCTACATGGGAACCGTTCTAAAAAAAAAAATTAGCCGGCGAGGTGGGGCCTGGTCCAGCATCGGAGCTGAGCAGGAGAATGGGGAAGGAGGCGGAGCTGCAGTGAGTGAGATTGGCACTGCATCAGCTGGTGAAGATGAACCATCTAAAAAAAAAAAAAAAAAAAAAAAATGAAAGCAACACATAAAGATTAGTGTAAAACAAATAAGATTATCATTGTTGCTGTCATCTTTATCAAATTCTCAAAACTAAGAGTCTGTTTTTATATAAATGTACTTGGCAACATAGCTGAAAAAAGCATTATCAGTTACATACTTTTATCAGTAACACAGAAATTTTAAGGGGGAAAAACACATGTTTTCACAACACAAAGTCAGAATTAACAGAAAAATTCTGCCGGTCACTTTGGACTATTTAACTGCCTGGGTCAGGGTTCTGTAGACAAACGAGCATCTATGGAGCACCTGAAGTAGGGGAATCAACAAGACTTGGGTTTCAAAAGTTACCTGGGTTTACAGCATGAAACTTGGTTGGAGGACACACACCTTGCGTGAGCGAGGTGCCTCGGTGTGTGTGGACGTGTTGGAGGTACAGCATCATGGTGGCTTCCTCCAGAAAGGGACATTTGGGGTGGATTCATTCCATCTGGACAACACAGCCTGATGTGGCATGGACATGAATGGAGGTGAAATGGACAGTAGCCGAGAGGATCAGTCCTGACAAGGGCCAAGGTGAAAAACCTGGGAACCCCTTCAGGTGCAGAGTCTTCAGTTGAAAAAGGAAGTGGTCATAGGAAATACTGAGATGGATCAGCAGTGCACGGGAGACAGAGTTCTTGGCCCTGCAGAGTGAGTAGTGTGGATTCTCAAGTTTTCTCCTCTCTCCATTTCTCTTCCAATGCAGACTGTTACGAGCATGAGATTCCAAAGTACTGTGAGCCTTGGCCCAGTCTCGAAGGTAAAGGAAGGCTGCTAGCAAGACTGGCATCTGGGCTTGGCTGTGTGTGTTTTCTGCTGTGGGAAAATATACATAACACAATATTTATCATTTGAACCTTTTAACCAAAGTGTGCATGCAGTGGCATTAAAAATATTCACAGTGTTGCATAACGAACACCACTATCTACACCCACGATTTTGATGATTTCTTACAAAACCTTGTCCACAGTAAGCAATATATCGCCTTCTCCCTGTTTCCAGCTCATGGTAATTCCTATCCCACCTTCTTTTGTATGAATTTGATTATTCTAGGCACTTCATGTAAGTACAATTAGACAATATATTCCTTTTGTGTCTGGCTTATTTCACTAAGCACAATATTTTCACTGTCCACCCATGTTGTATCATCTATCAAAATTGTGTTCCTTTTTTACAGATGGATGATATACCATTGCATGTAGACCACCTTGCTTTTATTACATTCATTTGTTCATTGATAGTTGGATTATTTCCACCTTTTGGCTCCTGTGAGAAGTGATGCTGTAAACATTAGTGTACAAATATCTGTTTGATTTCTGTTCTCTATTCTTTGGGGTATATACTTGAGTCGAATTCCTGGGTCTAAAGGGAGTTATATATTTAACCTTCTGAGCCATTGCAGACTGTTTTTCACAGTGGCTGCATCTTTATCCATTTCTACCAGCTAATGTATCAGGGTTACAATTTCTTTACATCCTTGTCCACACTTACCTTCCTTTAAATCATCCTAGTATATTGGTGTCTACTTGTGTTTTTCAATTGCATTTCTCTAATGACTATTGATGCTGAGCAGCTTTTCCTATGCCATTATCCGTGGGTGTATATTCTTTAGGGAACTATATGTTCAAGTCTTTGCCAATTTTTAAAGAGTTGTCTGGGGCCAGGTGCGGTGGCTCACGCCTGTAATCCCAGCACTTTGGGAGGCCGAGCCGGGCAGATCACGAGGTCAGGAAATCGAGACCATCCTGGCTAACACGGTGAAACCCCATCTCTACTAAAAGTACAAAAAAAATTAGCCAGGTGTGGTGGCGGGCACCTGTAGTCAGAGCTACTCAGGAGGCTGAGGCAGGAGAATGGCGTGAACCTGGGAGGCGGAGCTTGCAGTGAGCCAAGATCGTACCACGCACTCCAGCCTGGGCGACAGAGCAAGACTGTCTCAAAAAAAAGAAAAAAAGAAAAAAAGAAAAAAAAAAGTTCTCTGATTTTTATTTAGTTTGTTGTTTTAGATTTTTGGGAGGCTTAAAATATGTTCTACATTTTAGTCTCACAAGATAAGTGATTTGCAAATATTTCCCCCTTTTGTAGAACTTTAGATGCACAAAATTCATTAATTTGTATGAAATCCTCAGCAGTTGGCCCCAAACAGATAAGACTGAAGCAATATTTTAGGAATAGTTGAAAGTATTATCACCACAGAACAGGCGTAATCAAATCCTGCAAGCTACACATAACCACAGTGACAGATAAGGCAGCAAAGGGCTGTTTGGTGATTAGTTCACCACACTTGTTGCAACTGTTTGTGCTGCAGAGTTAAGACATACCAGCATTCAACCCATGTCTCCTCTCTTGAAATAAACAGTCCAATGTTGGCTGGCCTGAACAAGCACAGATATTCTCCATACTCAATTAATATGCATGTATGACGAAGAAAAGGAGGTCTGGATGGAAAAATATTGTATGATTAATAATTATGCTTTAATTAATTTTAAAGGATATAACTTATTTCTAATTCTTCCATCAGCAGTTATAACAAAGGGTTAGTGAATACATACAGTAGACTGTTTTGCCTAGAATAATCCAATCTGTCTACTAAACTTTGCTTTTATTCAAGTGCAAAATGCTAAAACATAATAACTGCAGTGACAGCCAGTGTGGATCCACAGAGGTAAAAATGGTCTTGGGACATAAATCCTATAAGCTAATACTATTTTACAGGATTTAGAAAACCATTTAGCTGGGTTTCAAACCTCACAGTGTGGGCAGTGGGACTCTCATCAGATTATAGCGTGTGCTTCAGTACCATTTGTAGACTGACTCATTCCCGTTGCCTTAAGTTGCCATCAGCAAAATGCCAGGGACTCTGTTTCTCGCTCCTCAGCTCCTCGCTCTTCCTGTCTTTCAATGAGGGAAGATTTTTTAGCAGCAGCTCAAGCTGTGCTTTTAATAAAACACATCCACACACACTGTCGTGTTGTTCACATTAAGCAGAGCTCCCTGAATAACTCATGAACCAAAGCATCTGTGACTAACCATTGCTCTGTGTCCTCCTAGCCTCTGAGGAGTCTCCAGCTCTCAAGGACAGAGGAGATGGAGAGAGGCCGGTCTATAATGCGAGGGTAAGGTTGCTTTCCTTTCCCTGAAATAGAAATGTTCCTTTCTTGGCGTCTTTCTTGTTCAACTGACTTTACATGTGAAAAAAACGACAATGTCCGTTACAGATATTAAATGCAGTGTTCTGAGGGGACAGAAGAAGCGACTCTTAGCAACTGATACGTAATCCAAAATTGCATTTACCTATGATGGCTTCAGGTTGTAGACTGTATCCTTGGGGTCCTTGTCCTTGGAAGCAATGTCTTCTCCTTGGATTCAGTATTTTGCACTTGCCAAGCTACGTGGACCTGAGGGATCCACCATCCAGAAGCTGATATCTTTTCTAGTGTGTATCCTACCCTTGTTTGGGGGGTCTTGAAGTTGACCACACTTTCTGACCTTGTTTTCAGTATTCACTGAGAGAAACAAAGCCTTGTGCAAACAATCCACAACACGACGTACCCCTCATGAAGTCTTGTTTCTGTATTGCAGGTGATGCAGGTGGTCCCTCTGAGGTGTGACTCTAGTAAGTATTCTGGAATTACTTGCAAAGAAAACAATCTGGATGCAAAGAAAGGTGTGGCATCCTTGCAGGTTTCCATGTGAAGAGCCACCCTGAGCCTGGGATTGGGATAGGAATAAGGAGAGTGGAAGTGTTTTTAAGAAACCCGAGTTCCCCAGGGAAAAAGTTATCGCCAATTTTTGAGGAAGCAGCTGTGCTGCCTTTTGGGTGGTACTGAGTTGGGTGCTTGAGGATTGGTGGTGTCTTGTGTGAGGCTGCATCATGTGTGGGGGTGTGTGTGTGTGTGTGTGTGTTTGTACAGGTGAGGCTGTGTGTTTTCTCAGGAGAGATTTCCCATTTATACAACTCAATCACCAGTGTCCACTTCCAACAATAAAATCCATCCCCCTCTACTCTCTCTGTACAGTGACTCCTCCACCCTCACCAGAGCCATCCCTGGGTCTGGCTTCTTATCCCCACTGCTCAGGTGGAGAACCTGAAGGGCCAAGGGGGTGGCCCCAGCTCCCGAGTTCGTGAATGAGAAAGTGAAAACATAAACCCAGGAGTGTGGGCCAGTGCTGACGCTGACATGCACTTAGTCATGGGGTGTTCCCCACCACGCAGGGAGTCCAGCATTCGTGTATAAATCCTAAAGCACAGAGCCTAAGAGGTCCCAGACACTGCCCATCACCATAAAGTGGCCTCTGTGGTCACACAACCCAGGGCACATCTCCCCACCGACCAGCGTAGTTATCAGTGTGTCACAAGCACAAAGATCCCCGGGGGTTTGGGTCAGCTCACAGAGCCTGTGTTTTTTGTTTTTTGTTTTTGTTTTTTTTAACTTTTATTTAAAGTTCGGGGTACATGTGCAGGGAGTGCAGGTTTGCCACATACATAAACGTGTGTTGAGAGTTTGTTGTGCAGATTTCATCACCCATATATTAAGCCTAATATCAGCTATTTGTCCTGATCCTCCCGCTCCTCCCACCTCCCACCCTCCAGTAGGCCCCACACTCACAGATTCTAAGAGGAGTGGGGGACCACGCAGGCCAGTGCAGCCCACTTCAGTTGTGAAGTTAATTTGCTCAGCAACTGGCCAAAGCCTATAAGGATGGGTGATGTATTTTAGTAGATTTAGTAATATTATCTTCCCAAGCCCTAAAATGCTCAAATCCTGCCAGCTGAAAATGGTGAGGAGGGACAGATGGGAACTCTGTACAGTAGTTATTAGCCTGGCTTCCGTCCCCTCGTGGCAACTCTCTTGTGCATGTGGGTTAAAGACCCTCAGCCTCAAGCCAAGCCGCCTCCATGAGGAGCCATCTCACTATTGACTGGCTAGTGCAGTGTATGGCCACCAGCCCAACTGAAACAACACGTGGCTTTAAAACAAGTGTAAATCTCATACAACAGGCAAATGCAGAAGCAGCATGTCTTGCAAGTTGTAAAGAAGACAGTCGCAATGTCGCTGGACTTCAACGTGGGTAGACGACATGAGGGAACTCTGTCACTGAATCACGGCAGAGATCAAGGCCACTTGTAGACTATTTTGTGTTACAGAAGGTGGCCTTTAGCTCCTAAGCAAAGACCTCTGTTTCTCATTTCTTCCCTGTTCATCCTCTTGGTCATCCTTCTTCCGCAAGGGAAAACAGCCCAAGCAAAAGGCAGTTTCAGTATTAATCTGACCGAGGTTTTGTGCAGTTTATTATCCAGGTAATCAGGTGCAACCCGGTCTGCCTACCAGCCCCCCTGCCCCTGCTCTGTGTTTTCATTTAATAAACATTTTGGTCTACTTACTATGTGTTAGATTTTCTGGAGACCACAGAGTAAATGAGATAGAATCTTTATGTTCACAGCTAAGTTAGATTTAACATAACTGACAAAAATTAAGATTTCTGATTTCTTGTAAGAATATTTAGTATGTGTGAATGCATGCTGAATGTAAAGTGGTTAACAAAAAAAATCACACTTGCACTCATGGAGGGCTTTTCAGGAATTTGTCAATTTGTATTTTTTTGTATTTCCCCACTTCACTGGATAAAGCATATCTGAACCTGGAAGCTGATTCTCACTGCAGAAAGTGTTCTGAGTCACGTCTCTTAGCTTCTCTAGCGCAGGTCCACCCGGGAGGATGGCCCAGCATCAGCTCAGCCCATGCTGTGATCAGCCACCTCCATGCACCACACCAAGCAAGCTCCCTGGGTGATTCACAGTCTCCACCACCAGGGCACTGACCTTTACTCTCTGTTCTCCTAGCTCCCTATGGGGACCCTGTACAGGACACTGCTAACAAGGACACTGTGCGTGACATCGCTGACACTGTACGAAACATCTGTAATGAGGACGCCCTATATGAGATCACTAATGAGGCCACTGTACACGATACTAATCAGCATGCTGTACAAGACATCTGTAAAAAAGACGCTGCCAAGGTAAGACACTTTTATCTTGAACAGAAATGATACTTTCCTGGTTCTTTCCAATCAGATGTAGACATGAACATCTGCCAATGTGCATTATTTATGACATCTGCAATTCCCTTGGTGTGGTGCTATTGATTGGCAGCCTCTCACCAACCCATGCCAGGCACACAGGGGCGTGGTAGATGGCAGCATCCACAATCCACCGCAATGCAGAGGTGTTTCCCTCCACAGCAGGTTTCCCCCATGGATTAAGAGTTGTGAAACTGTCAATGTAAATACATTTTAAAGATAAATTCTGTGGGAAAAGATCTTGTCTTTTCCACAGGTGTCCTCCGTGCTAGTTTGGGGGGAGTTCAACCTTTGACTCAATCACTATATCCCTTCTAATTTTTCAAGTTTTTGAGAGAATATCAGATCTATGTGACATGCATGGCATCATTTCACCCTCCTGTTTTCTATAATTGCAGGAGCCATTTATACTGGAAAACGGTACGTACCCTGAAATAACCCACTTCCTGAGGGAAAAACGCTGTCTGTAGGGGTATAGAAACCAGATTCTTGGCTCCTTTTGGGAAGAAGGATCTGGGGGTCTGGTGAGAGCAGATGATTTTGCAAGTATAAAACAATGTCCAGAGAGGCTGGAGGGATGTCTGTGGGACAATCAGAGGAAACACCAGGGGATCCTGTGTGAAGCACCGGGGCTTCAACTGGGGTGGGAAGAGTGGGTGGGCCTCTCTCTAATGACTTATCCTGGTGTTTGTGTTTCTAAAGATTTGATTGTGGAGAGCATATCTGACGACGAGGATTTTGCAGGTAGGTAACTACTTTCCAGGTAAGATCCAATGGGAGAGAGTTCCCAGGGCCTTCGGGGTATCCGTGCTGCTTGGGAGGTTGAGGGAGGGGGCATGAAATCAAAAAGAAAAAGGAAATATGTGTCAAACTGGATTTGGTGTTTTCCAGGTTTCTTGCCATAATGTAAGAACTGTCTGTGTGGGCTGGGAGGGTGCTGTGTGATTTGAAGGAGATCTTTCCCAGAACACCTGGCCTTCTCTGCCTCTGCCAAACGTCACAGCCTTTGGGTTGGACTGGTCAGCACTGCTTGGGATTGTGCAGAAGAGGTTTGGGGTTGCATCAAGTGGCACCTGTGGCGAACAGAATCTGAGGGACACACTCCCTCACAGGCACTTACTTGAACCTGGAGACACAGTTCTCCTGGTGTGTGCCCAGGGGTGCAGGAGAAATTCACGGTCATCCTCTGAACTTTTAGGACTTTAAAAAGCACTCATGTTTCCATCTCGCTGTTGACTCCTGGCTTAAAGGGAGCTCCCGGGGTGAGTGATGGAGGCGGGATCGGACCCTGGCAGTCTGACGGCAACACCTGTGTTCCTCTGCACTGGGCCTTGGACAACATTACACACCTTGGTGAGCATCAGGAATTCAGGCTAACCACATCTGAAATTGAGATGGACCTTGAGTCATATAAATAGTTTGGAAAAGATGCATTTTATCACCCTATGGAAAGAAACCACTTATTTCTCACTCCAGCAGGATAAATGGTTTTCAGTATCTACTTAACTGCTCATTGACTCTTACTGTAGATGAGGAGGTGGCAAGCAGCCCCTGCCCTCCCCGCGTTGTAGGCCCAAGGTAACCAGCAATTGGCTGGATATAACGGAAGAGGGGTGCATTCGGAGGTATCTGTATTAATGGGACCCGCATGATATGGGTGACAGCTATTAGGGTGAGAAAAAACCTGGGAGCACAATGAAATATGTAAATATTCAAACATTGTTGAAATCTCCATGGTACTTTAATAGTTGAAATCATTCTTGTGGTCATCACTGCCTTTCCCAAACATAACAAGCTACTTAATGTCACACGGACCCATGCCATGAGGAATGACGATCAGTTTGTAAAATGCCAGTAAAACCATTGCCTGTATCAGCCACAATATTTCATCCATACATTTCAATGTCCATGTGTAAGTATAGTTCAAATGTCAGAAATTTATCATCTAGTAGAATATGCATAGTGTATCAATGAGCAATAATTATCATACTGTTTCTATTAACAGTTATTTGATGAAAAACGCAGACTCCCATTCTTGGAGTTTTCTGAGTTTGCACACATTAGCGTGACAGCCCCATGTCCACCTGACGTGTGCCAGCAGGAGGCCAGGAACAGAGGCTTTTCTTATTAGCTAAGGTTTCTAAATGTATTACATATTCATGGTTAGAAATAACTCTAAATATCATAAAAGGTTAGCAAGGAAGTTTCCCTTCCACTCTGAACTTCCAAACACCAAGTCAACATTTTTGTTTGCATGTCATCCCTACAATCTACATGCAAATAGAAACATGCGCCTGGCATGCATGCTGATGCGTGATCATGTTTTTACAAAGTCCTCTGCACCTCTGCATATGCCACTGGGCAATGCACCTTAGTTATCATTCCACATTTCAACTGTAAATCCATTGTATTGTTTCAGATCTATGAAATACTGCATCCTATGACTCTTCCCAAAATTACTTAAGCACTGCCCTCTGGGTATCCATTTGTTCTGTTTCCAGTCTTGCTCTTATGACCAATGCTGTAGTGAACAGCACTGTGTTGAGTGAAGTGGTGAACGTGGCATCTTTGTCTTGTTCCAGTCCTCAGGGGGGACGCTTTCGACTTGCCCCATTCAGGATAATGTGGGCTGTGGGTTTGTCATAGATGGCTTTTATTACCTTAAGGTATGTCCCTTCTGTGCTGATTTTACTGAAGGGTTTTAATCATGAAGAAATGCTAGATTTTGTCAAGTACTTTTTCTGCATCTATTCAGATTATCTATGATTTATGTTTTTATTTTTATGTGATGTATCACACTGATTGACTTGCATATGTTAAACCATCCCTGCATCCCTGGTATGAAACCCACTTGATCATGGTGGATTATCTTTTTGATATGCTGTTGGATTCAGTTAGCTTGCATGTAGCATTTCTTATTATTCCAATCTGTGGAATGTATTGGTTTAAATAATGAAAACATATTTTCACTGCTTAGCACTTTGTTTCTTTAACAGCCTTCCCAAAAGGGCAGCATAAAAGCAGGAGCCCCACTAGTCTCCCCTTAACCTGGAATCCCCCCTTCTCCACAGCTCGCTGATTGGGCAGGATAGACTGAGCACCCAGGCCTCAAGATAAGGACACACTCCGTCACCTAGAGGTGCAGTGCCTGGGAAGGCCAACCGTGGAGGGGTGCTGCCAGCTTTACAGTGATAGAGGTGTTCGGAGGGACTGACCACCAATTCATAAGGCTGTGCTTTGTTGGTGACGTCAAGGACTGTTTTGCAGATTGTTGGGGAGGGACAATCCCAAGGCCTCACCTGGCCCTGGTCCTGGCTTTGCACAAAGGCAATAAGAGAGGAATGGTCAGGGCTGACCTGTTGCTGTGCTGGGGAGGAAGGTGCTGGGCTGAAATTCAGGAGGCTGAGGATGCAGCAGTCCCATAGGAGGTGCATGACCTTCAGCATACGGTTTCTTAATTGATGATAAATGGAAATGATAAATCATTGACGATTTTTTCTATCATTGGATATTTACTCTCTACTGCTGGTGCTGTTCCTGTCTTTATGGAGAAGATAGAGGATCAATCAGTGTGTGCTGCACTGAGTGGAAGGAAAGAGAACTGCAACAAAAATTAAGAGAGGATGAGGGACGGGAGGGCCCTTCATCCAGGTGCTCGCAGAGTCCTCCTGAGGAGGAAAGCCCTGTGGCTCCCTGGGGAAGGAACCGTGAGGGCTGCGTGACTCCCACAGTGAAGTGTGTAGTATGTCTGAGGACACCCAGGCTGGTCTGTGAGGAGCCAGTGGCAGAGTGAGAAGCAGCAAGGCCAGGAGGGTGACTGGAGGCTAGGCTCTGGGTCATTCTCCATGTGATGGAAACAGATGGAGCCCAGTGGGCTGGGAGGTGCAGGACGTGGTGGCTGATGACAGAACAATGTGGAGAGAAGTGCCAGGTGTCAAATCCTTACTTCGTTCTGGGCATTGTGCTAAAACTTCCCGTGGCTCATCCCATTTAGGGACTGAAAGTTGCAGAGGTTTAGGAAACTCGCCTACAATACTGGAGCCCCCATCTCCTGCCCCAGTGCTGTCCCCCTTCTCACCCAGCCACCACCTGTGTCAGGGGAACACACAGAAGTGGTAACCTTTTATGGACAGGGAAGTAAATTCTGTTTTTGTTATTCACAGAAAAAAACATTGGCTCCTGTGGCTTGGGAAGGTGAAATACCAGAAGTATTTCATCTGGTTATTTCTACCAACGTGAATTCTGTAGTATTGAAATGCATAGGTTAGCATTTTGGGCCAATTTACCCAGCATTCTGGGGTAAAGGCTTTAATTTAATAATTAATTTATTTATTTTTGAGACGGAGTTTCACTCTCGTTGCCCAGGCTGGAGTGCAACAGTACTATCTTGACTCACTGCAACCTCAGCCTCCCAGGTTCAAGCGATTCACCTGCCTCAGTCTCCCAAGTAGCTGTGATTATAGGCTCATGCCAACATGCCTGGCTAATTTTTTGTATTTTTAGTAGAAATGAGTTTCACCATGTTGGTCAGGCTGGTCTCGAACTCCTGACCTCAGATGGTCCTCCCACCTTGGTCTACCAAAGTGCTGAGATTATGGGCATGGGCCATACAAATATGGCAATACAAAATACAAAAATGGCAATCTCTTTTATCACACAAATAACTTCTTTTTAATAGTGATTTTTTTCTAATTGATGAATTACGTACTTTTCATTTACTAATTATTAATTGCTTACATTTGAAGTGTTTTACAAATTAATATTTAATTGCATAGATGAAGATTACTAGTCATAGACATTTTACTAAGCAATACTCATTAAGCACAGCATGGATTCATGTGATGTCAAGGGGCTATTTTATTTGGTGAAAGGAAAAAGCACAAGAACGAATGCAAGAGCTGGACCAGTGGAGACACCGACAGTGATCTAAGATCTAAATCACTCTGTTGTCTTCCCGGCCTCCTGATCATCCTCATCACTGTCGTCAGCATTGTTGGGTCCTTTTAGCACAGATTTCTCAAAATGGGCAACTCCGTAACACTTGAAAGCTTATGAATTAATAGAATTTGTAAGAGTGCAATTTGGGGGAGTACCTATCGATTTTAAAATTCTAATAACCTGGTAATTTCATCCCATGTCTAGAGTCTTTTATGTAAAATATTTCCACAATTAGGATAAATATGTGCATGGGGATTTTCTATGTTGCAGTGTTTTAATGGAATAGAAAATTGGTAAAACCAAATTTCCATCACAAAGGAAATAGTAATACACTGAATAATAATACAGTGAATATTATACTGGCTTTAAACATCAAAAAAGAGCTCAACTTCTGACTTCCGATGATGGTGTTGAAGTAGGTCACAGCTGGTCGACATTTGATTTTCGTGTGGGAACCCTGGAAGTCTGCCTTAGTGATTTTACATGTGGCTAAATTTAGCTAATGAAAAGCTATTGGAAGTATAGAAAAATGGAACTTTAAAACAGTACTTCGTCAACAACCAAGTGGACCTGTTTCACGTAGAGCCCACGCATTCATCTGCCTGCCCATCACTCTGTCTGTCCACATGGGCATCATTTGTTAGTGGAACTGAGTGCCCACTGTCGAGCTGACAAGCCCATAACCTCCCTGTTCCTAGTCACACATTAATTCTTCAACAAATTCCTTTTGATTGTGATTAAGCTTAGCCGCTATTTCCAATTGCTTCCCCAAACGTACTTCTCACTGTTCTCCCATCACACCCTTCAGCCCATCCATGCGGGTTTCCTTTGCTTTTCCCACCTTACACCAAACTCCCTATTTTCACTCCCACTTTTACCTCCTCTCCAAGACAAAACAAAACTAGCATTTTAAAACTTAGTTGTAATCTTTGTTCCTTCATGAAAATTTCTCCAACAGCCACTCTTACGGCTCTGTGTGTTCCGCATATTTTAAAATATTGGGTATAAGGTTGAGCACGTCAGGATATGCTGTTTCGGGCTGCACACCGTTTTGTTTGTATTGATTCTTCCTATTGGAGGCGTGGTCATTGCCTTCTCCTCCTCTGGGGAGTTTATGCCAGTGCTCTTGAATAAGTTTGACAATTTTTCTTTTTATACTTAATTCTTTTTTTGTTTAGTATTAAGATAACAGTATTCTCATCAAATTAATTGAAAGTAGCCCCCTTCATTAATTTCATGGAAATCTTTCAATCAGATTAGAATGACAACTCCATTGTAATTTTGGATTTAGCCAATAATACTATTAGGGCTCTGTGTGTGAGAGACAGCAGGAGAGAGAAAAAGAGCAAGGGAGAGAAAGAGACAGAAAGAGACAAAGACCAATATTTCTTTTTTTTTTTTTTTTTTTTTTTTTTTTGAGAGTCTCTGTTGCCCAGGCTGGAGTGCAGTGGTGCGATCTCTACCCACTGCAAGCTCCGCCTCCCGGGTTCACGCCATTCTCCTGCCCTCCTGCCTCAGTCTCCCGTGTAGCTTGGGACTACAGGCGCCCACCACCGCGCCCGGCTAATTTTTGTATTTTTAGTAGAGACGGGGTTTCACCATGTTAGCTAGGATGGTCTCGATCTCCTGACCTCGTGATCCGCCCGTCTCGGCCTCCCAAAGTGCTGGGATTACAGGCATGAGCCACTGTGCCTGGCCAAAGACCAATATTTCTTAACTACTGATTAAATTTACATAGAGTCTGCTGAACTATTTAGGATTTTTATTTCTTCATGAGTTCATTTTAGAAAATTGTACTTTCTAGGATCTTATCTATTTTGTATACATTTTTAAATGTATTGGCATAATATCCATATTCATATATATTTGTATACATAACGAATACATATGTAGATTTGAATACATATATATGTGTTCATAATATCCACTGATTGTTTTGTAATCTCTGCTACTTCTGTGGTTATGTCTTCCTATGAATTTCTGATGAATTTTGATGATTTCCCTTTTTTCTTGATAAATCTCACTAATGACTTTTGTATTAGACTTTTCTCCAAAACAACTGTTAGCTTTCTTACTTCTCCCTAATATTGTCCTTATTTTCTATTTCATCACTTTCTCTTCTTATCTGTTATCCTTCCATTACATTATCTGCGTTTATTCTGATGTTACTTTTTTCTAACTTGAGTTGTATGCTTAATTAACTTTCGGCCTTTCTGAGTTTCCAATGTAAATAAGCTTATAGATTGCTCTCACATAATGCTCTTTGCTGTATCTCACAATTTTCAGTTTGCACACATTTTATTTATTCATAAGTATTATCTAATTGCATTATGATTTTTATTGACATTCAAGTTTAGAAGTATGCTCTGCATTTTCTAGTGTTGCAACCAATCAATGGTCTTGTGCGCGAGTCTTTCAGTTTTTGCCAGTCTCCTTTAGGAGAGATTTTGAGGTGTTGGATTGAAGTGTTACTGCTTTGCAACTTTGCTAAATGTTGCCAGATTCCCCTCCATAGGTGCCTAATGGGGCTTTCTTAGCAAGAATGTGTGCACAGCCGCGCTGGGACATAGTTACATGTGAAACTTCTAAAATTTTGTCTCTAAAGTGGTTATTAAGGTGATTTTTAAAATTTTTTCAATAAGATTAAAAGCCATTTGGTTTTTTTCATTTATATTGTTTGTTCATGTCTCCAACATGCTTACATGTGATTGCTGCCAGTCTTCTTCCCTACATTTAGAGACTTGTTACATTTTAAGTATATTAAAACTTTTGTGATATGCCTGGTCGTATTTTTTTTCCTGTTTACCATGTATCTTTTGTACTTTTTAAATTGAACTTCACCTCACACTGAGGTTTTCTAGTTTTATGTAATAAAACATTGTAATTTCATTGTGTTCTCAGGCGCTACCACTTTCAAGGCTGCTGTTGACTTTCTACAGGAACATGTGCTGCATTGATGAGCAGCAGCCAGTGTCTCCCATGTTTTGTAATAATTGTTCTTTGTTTGTTTCAGATAACCCTGAGAAATATATTGGCTGTCTCCACAGGCTTATGATTTCTTTTCAGGTTTGAAAAATGCGCCCAGCTGAGCAACACGGGACTGACACATTGAAGGAGCAGCTGCAGGACACACCCAAGAAGCCTCCTGGAGGACTCGGGGGGCATTTACGGCTGGAGGCTTCATCTATGGCTGGCGTTTTCATCTATGGCTGGCGGTTTCATCTATGGCTGGCATTTTCATCTATGGCTGCGGGCTTTATCCATGGGCTGGAGACTTTATCCACTACTGGGAGCTTCATCTATGTCTGGAGACTTCATCTATGGCTGGTGTTTTCATCTATGGCTGCGGGCTTTATCCATGGGCTGGAGACTTTATCCACTACTGGGGGCTTCATCTATGTCTGGGGGCTTCATCTATGGCTGGAGGCTTCATCTATGCCTGCGTGCTTTATCCATGGGCTGGAGACTTTATCCACTACTGGGGGCTTCATCTATGGCTGGCGGTTCATCTATGGCTGGGGGTTCATCTATGGCTGGAGGCTTCATCTATGGCTGGAGGCTTCATCTATGGCTGCGGGCTTTATCCATGGGCTGGAGACTTTATCCACTACTGGGGGCTTCATCTATGGCTGGGGGTTCATCTATAGCTGGAGACTTCATCTATGGCTGGCGGCTTCATCTATGGCTGCGGGCTTTATCCATGGACTGTGGGCTTCATTCACGGCTGGGGGCTTTATCTATGGGCTGGAGACTTTATCCACCACTGGGGGCTTCATCTATGGCTGGGGGCTTCCTCCACGGGCTGGGGGGCCTCATCCATGGCTGGTTTGCCCGATCTCTTTCTGAGCCACAGAAACAGATTATTAAACAGATAATTTTATTGAGTTCCACTTTTATAGTTTTTTAAATACTTTTTGTTTCAAAAGTTTTGTTGATAATTGTATGAAATAACTAAACCTGAATTACCCCTTTTAATTATTTCCTTGTGTCAATATAGAAAGAGTGGATTTAAGGAAACACTGAGATGCCCGTCTGTGTTTGTGAACAGGCGTGTTGGGTCTAAAGCCTTTATCTGGTAGCTTTCCAGAAGATCGCCCCGCCTTACACTTGCTTTCTGCGGGTCCCAGAGGCTTCCATTTGAAAGGAGCCTGTCTCCCTACTCTGCCTCACCCTACACCAGCTCACCTGCAATCCACTGACTTTGTAAACACTTTCTTCCACCGTCACCTCATTGAATTCAGAACTTTGGAAAATAAAAATTCTAAAAACGTGGGAGTGGATATGATCTGGAAATACCTGCTGTAATATTTTTAATGGAATCTACTGGAAACTATTAGTTTATGTTTTAAATAAAACCATCCCTTAGCATTAGAATATCAAGCCATTCATTTTCTAGCAGAACTTTTAGATATAATTCAAATACCATAAATTTCACCCCCATACAGTGTACAATTCAGTGGTTTCTAATTATTCACAGAGGTCTGCAAAAATTACAATTGAATTTTAGATATTAATATCATTTGTTGACATCCTTACATGCATACAGATGTAGATATATATAATTCTAACATCTTGAATATTATCATATTTAACATTGTACTATAATAATATCTGTGTCTTTATATTGCTGTTTTATTTTGTTATTCTGAATGACGATCTCCAGGTACCCTTATGCAGGTTTAAAATACACCTTTTTACAACAATAAAAAATAATAAATCAAAAAAAAAAAAAAAAAAAAAAAAAAAAAAAAAAAAAAAAAAAAAAAAAAAAAAAAAAAAAAAAAAAAAAAAAAAAAAAAAAAAAAAAAAAAAAAAAACCTTTTTACAACTCAAGAAATTAAATTGTTTCTAGTAAATCACGTAAGAAACACATATGCTATTGTTATAAAAATGCAAATATTGCTTAGGTCTGTATAATGAACTGTATCACCGCCAGCGCCCAGCCCACTCAGTCATCCACATCCACTTACACACAGATAGACATGCCCATGTTTTTACATAACATAATCCTGCTTTGTGTGTTGTTCCCTGACTGGCTTTTCCACATAAAATAGAATTTGGTGATCATTGCTTATCTGTACATATAGGTCTCTCTCATTCTTATTTATAGTTGCATCATTATTCAACAGGGTATTTTACCATAATTTGGTCATTTTTCACTGTGGAATTTTTGTGTTGGATTCAGTTATTTGTTATCATTACCTACACTCTCCTGGGCATACCTGTATATTCATCTTTTTGTACCTTAGTTAAGTGAGTTTTTTCTTTTATGATTGATTTCTAAAAAACTGCTGAGGCAAAGTAAGAATATTGAATATTTTGATAAACAATTAAAAATCTGTGTTTCAAAAAAATGTAATGATCTTATACTCCCATCATCAGTAAACGAGAGTTCCTATTTCCACACACCCTTGATTAATTACAGAGGAAATGACCAATGCTAATCTTGGCCAATTTTGTAAGAAATATTTCCACTTTTAATTTGGATCTCTCCACTTATTGGAGAGATTGTGCATTTTTGTGTATCGGCCATTTGTATTTCTCTCTGGTAATTTCATAATGATATGTTTTACAATTCATGTAATGATATTTTTCATATATTCTGTAAATTTATATCATATAATTAGCAAGTTTCTTAAGGTCTGTATCATAACTTTTGTTTGTATTTGTCTTGAAGAAACTTTCATTTTTACATAGTCAAACTGTTCAATATTTTCCCTATCTTGTCTGGATTTTGTGACTTGTTTTTAACAATATGTCCTTTTAGGGCTTTACTGATTTGTTTAAAGAACGTACTCAACTCCTACATTATTTAGTAATTTACTTTCTCCCATTACAGTACATGGACATCACTAATTCCAACTAATGTAGATCAAATGTATCATTTGAATTTCTGTGTAGTAATGCTCATTATAGGTATGTTCTGATTTCTTTAACTCTTCCCTATAAGATGGATATTAAGGTTGTTTTTAAAACTTCCCACCACTAATGACTTTTCAATAATCATCAATATACATGGATTCCACTGATGTTTTTATTTCTTCTTTTCTGTAGTATAGGATTCTCAAAGTGGTATAACTGACCTATAATACATTTTAATTATAATTTTAATTATACTGGCAGATTACTTTCCAAAAAATTGATCAATTAACACTCTTATCAACTACATAAGTCTCTATGTAGGCTAAATAACACTATAATTTTTTAAAAATAAAAATCCTAATTTGGTGAAAAATCCCACAGGTGCTTTAATCAATTTTTTTCTATTTCAATGAGTTGCCTATTTATAGCCTGTGTGTGTGTGTGTGTGTGTGTGTTTCTATTTGGCAGTTTATGGTTGGAAATACTCTTAAAAAAGGAAATCTAAAAAACACAAAATATTTGATTAGTAAGAAATTTCTGCATATCCAAAAATTGCTAAAAATATTAAAATTGTAGTCAAAATAGCTCATGAAGCAAAGCAAACAAAAATACTAAACAAAAGAAACAGGCCAGGTGCAGTGGTTCATGCCTGTAATCCCAGCATTTTGGGAGGCTAAGGCAGGCGTATATCACCTGAGGTAAGGAGTTCAAGACCAGCCTGGCCAACATGGTGAAATCCCATCTCTACTAAAAATACACAAAAAGTAGCTGGGCATGGTGGCAGGTGTCTGTAATCTCAGCTACTCAGGAGGCTCAGGCAGGAGAATCGCTTGAACTCAGGAGGCAGAGGTTGCAGTGAGCTGAGATCACACCAGTGCACACCAGCCTGCGTGACAGAGGCAGACTGTCTCAGAAAGAAAAGAAACAATAACAAAAAAACTCCCACAGGATTTCCAAGGAGTAAATACAAAAAAAAGACAACTTTGATTTTCAAATTTTATGTGGATGGAGAAGACTTCATAAGAAATAAAAATAGCAAGTTGGAAAGAACAGACGGGCTTTCCTGAATGGGCTGTAGCTCTTGTAAACCAGCATATTCCTTGCAGGGACCTGAGTGAAATAAGCTCACCAGCCACTCCAAGAGACTGCATCATTGGATGAAGGAAGTTTGATTTGTTCCTGGTTTACATGGAACAACTCATAAAACCATTAGGGTGATTTATCATTTGTTTTTAATTTTTTATAGTTGTTAACAAGTTTTAAGAATTTCCATTTGATTTCTAATTTATTGAGACTCTTAAAATTACAAGCAAATGCTGAATTTTTATCAAATGGTTTTTTGTATCTTAAAAAATCACAGAACTACTATATGAAAATCATGAAACATTTTCCCTGCCTTATCCCAAATGCAAAAATGATTTGACTCACACTTTTCATATAAAATGAAAAAGTATATTCTAGAAAAATATGAAATAGCATCTTTATATCCTAAATGACACATATATGAGATATATATAAATATGTGTGTGAGTGTGTGTGCGTAGTTTTAGGACACAAAAATACTAATCTTGAGGAAAAAAACATTGATCTACATAGATATTGAAACTAGCTGGCATAGCAAAAGTCCCCTTTAAGAAAATGACTTACAAAGCACAGAATGACAGAAAATGCTCACAGCGTGTACATGTGAAGAATGTGTAATGTTGGTCCCGGCTGTCAACACTGCCAATGTTGCTGCCATCCTCACTGTAGACAACTGTGGCTTTTGTTCAGAATTCTTGGATGCTGAGGGTGGCTGAGCTGACCCTGCCTGGGCCACAGACCCTAAACAGGACAGAGGGGAGGGACTGTGGGTCAGAATCACAGGCCACTGAGGAGAGGGGGTGTATGGAGCAGAGCCACGTGTGGATCCCCCGTCCCCAGGTGAGGTCCCCCCTCTCCTGTGCAATGAGTGAGGAGGGTCAGGACAGGAGCCCAGGGTATGGTTCAGATGTTCAGATGTGACTCTGCTTCCTGATGCTCTGCTGTGGAGCCTGGGCTCCCTGAACCCTCCTTATATCTCCCAAAACTTCATGGGGGTAGAGCCACTGCTTTCAAATAAGACATTGCTACCCGTTTGCTCCTTGGCCTTTCTGCCCTGGGTTCTCACAGCTGACCCAGTGGGTGGGAGGTGTATCCTGGCAGGTCAGCATTGCCACCCAACCTACCCAGTGGGCACCCTGATGGCCGAACTCCCATGGAGGCTCTGAGTCATTTCCCAACTGGAAGGGGCCATCTCAGGAGTGTCCGCCATTGTCCCCCACAGTCCTCAGACTCCAAAGCCATCCTGCCTCTCTGACACACCTGGGCATCTCAGGTGGAGGCCTCTGACTGTCCTGGTCCTCCTCTTTTTTTTTGGGGGGGGGGGTCGGAATCTTGCTCTGTCACCCAGGCTGGAGTGCAGTGGTACGATCTTGGCTCACTGCAAGCTCCGCCTCCCGAGTTCAGGCCATTCTCCTGCCTCAGCCTCCTGAGTAACTGGGACTACAGGCGCGCACCACCACACCCGGCTAATTTTTTTGTATTTTTAGTAGAGACAGGGTTTCATCGTGTTAGCCAGGATGGTCTCGATCTCCTGACCTCGTTATCCGCCCATTTCGGCCTCCCAAAGTGCTGGGATTACAGGCGTGAGCCACCGCGCCCGGCCCTGATCCTCCTTTCTAAAACTGCTCACGATGTTAGAGAGGGAACAGGGCTGCAGGGAATCCTAAACAAAGAGGGTGTTTAGGATTTTCAGCCTCTGGCTGAAGAGGGTGCAGCCGCTTGCCCTTTAGCGATGCCAGCAGAGTGCGTGTGGCATTTTCTGTTGGTGTTTCCTGGGACCCAGACGCACGGAGTTTACTCACACTTACTAACCCTCTCATCCTCAGCCGCCTAAAGGCCTCTCTTGTGTATTTTTTTCTTTATAACCATTTCAGATCATGTTTCCCTCCATCTCTCTGAGTCATCAACTCGAGTAAATAATGTGGTTTCACTCTGACTTCCAAATCATCTCTACAGATACTTAAAGAATTCATAGTCTGTTTGCATTTTTTAAGTAAATAATTTTTCCTCTTTAGGCCTCATCTGGTTTTTTATTTTTTGTCAGGCTTAAGCATTTAATTGTATCCGTGTGTGCATATGAACCCCTTCCATTACTTCCAACAGGTCAGCATTGTTTAAACCACACTTCAGTTATAAACCTTGGTGCTGAGCAGCTGGGTTGCTGCGGATACAATGTTACCAGTGAGGACTTCCTCCTATGTATTTCCCTCCATCTCTGAGAGAGAGTGGACTTGCTGCGTGGGGGGTGCACACTTAATGTTCTATGTGCTGAGGGACTTCCCTCCCGATGGCTGACCCTGTTAATATCCCAGTTGTTAGTGAGTGCTTCTGACGCTCCACAGCCTAACTGAAAATTTGTTTTTATTTTTTAAAATTGCAATAGTTGTCAGCTCAACACTCACTGGTTTCATGCCTCACTCAGAAGTAACTGCACGATTCTAGGGCATCCACAGGAACCTACAGGTTTTGCCTGCCCCTGCCCCTGGCTGGCTGATCTCCAAACCCTCTCCCTAGCTCCATACACCCCCCTCTCCCCAGTGGCCTGTGATTCTGACCCACAGTCCCTCCCTGCTCTGTCCCGTTTAGGGTCTGTGGCCCAGGCAGGGCCAGCTCAGCCACCCTCAGCATCCGAGGGTTCTGAACAAAAGCCACAGTTGTCTGCAGTGAGGACAGCAGCAACACTGGCAGTGTTGACAACCAGGGCCAACATTGCACATTCTGTGCTTTGTAAGGCATTTTCTTAAAGGGGACTTTTGCTATGCCAACTAGTTTCAGTATTTATGTAGACCAAGTTTTTTTCCTCAAGATTAGTATTTTTGTGTCCTAAAACTATGCACACACACACTCACTATATACATGTATATGTTATTTAGGATATAAAGATGTTATTTTATATTTTTCTAGAATCTTTATACCTTTCTTCTTATATGAAGAGTATAATTCAAATCATTTTTGCATTTGGGATAAGGCAGGGACCAATTTTCATTATTTTCATACAGTAGTCCTGTGATACTGGAGTGCAGTGGCGAAATCTCAGCTCACTGCAACTTCCGCCTCCTGGGTTCAAACGATTCTCCTGCCTCAGCCTCCTGAGTAGCTGGGACTATACATGCTTGCCAACACGCCTGGCTAAATTTTGTATTATTTTTTAGCAGAGATGGGTTTCACCATGTTGGCCAGGCTGGTCTCAAAACTCCTGATCCCGGGTGATCCGCCTTCCTTGGCCTCCCAAGGTACTGGGATTACAGGTGTGAGCCACAACACCCAGCCTCTATCTCGTATTTTAAATAGAAATAACTTCAATTTTTTGTGTACAGGAACATGTACTGCTCTCTTTTAACTGGGAAAATCATGATAGCAAATTGTGTAAAAGACATGTCACAAAACGTGAATTAAAAGCCAAACTCTTCTGAATACTATTGCCAAAATCCAACACAATACACTAGCAATCTTGATTCCCAGGTTTTTTGGGATACATGTGCAGAATGTGTGGGTTTGTTGCATAGGTATACATGTGCCATGGCAGTTTGCTGCACCTATCAACCCGTCATCTAGGTTTTCAGCCCCGCATGCATTAGGTATTTGTCCTAATGCTCTCCCTCTCCTTGCACGCAACCACGACAGGCTCTGGTGTGTGATGTTCCCCTCCCTGTGTCCATGTGTTCTCATTTTTCAATTCCCACTTATGAGTGAGAACATGAGGTGTTTGATTTTCTCTTCCTGGGTTAGTTTGCTGAGGATGATGGCTCCCAGCTTCATCCATGTTCCTGCAAAGGATACGAACTCACCATTTTTTATGGCTGCACAGTATTCCATAGTGTATGTGCCACATTTTGGTTTTTTAAAGGAAAGACTGGGGTTTTTGATGTGGATATAAATGCGGTGGGATGAGGACAGGACCCCTACTGTTTAGGGTGCTGCTGGGGAGAGTGGCAAGAAGGGACAGGGCCATCAGGTTGGTGAAATGAACATTTGGAGAAACAAGGGAGGAGGGCTTGGGTGGTCCTCAGGACAGTCCTGGGGTGGGGTCTCCAGGCTGTAGCTCTGGAGGGGTCCCTCTAAGAGGAGAAAGGACTTGACTCTGTGCCTTGTCCCTGCAGGGCCCAGGGATGAAATAGGAGTCTGAAGACACTGCTCTTTGGTTTGGAAGAAATGAACAGGGATCTGTCCACTCTGTGCTGGCGCAGCCACTGCCCGTCCTCAGCCAGGCCTTAGTCCAGCTTCCCAGACAGTGGCTCAGATCAATACTGAGTGAGGCAGGAAGCTTTATAAACTAAGTCCATTAAGCCGCCACTCCAGGCCAGGTGCCACTTATCAGTTAAAGGGCATTAACTGCTCACCCAGGTTTGGTCAACTGGAGGGAAGCTAAGTGGTCACGTGACAGTTTGGAATGTTGCTGTCTAATACCGTTGGGTGTTGGGTATTAGAGTATAATGCCGTTAGGTGTCAGTTGGCTGCAGGGAACCATTGCAGACAACTGATCACTGGGAACATGTAGGCCATGGCATCTGACTGTGAGCCTGCTAGGAAAGGATCGCCCTGTTTTGAATCACCCTCGTCCATCAAAGGGGCTTCATTTGAGGTAAACCACATCCTATTTTGGGTCTGGGATGGAAAGGAAGAGACAGAGGCCAGGTCATGTGTCCAAGCTCGTTTCCAGGCTCAGGCACCTATTCCAGGGCATTGGCCCTCCCTGAAACCTTGGGTCAGGACGTCTTGAGACAGTCAGGGCAGTTCACATTTTGGGGGTTCCAGAGCACGATCTGGAGGTCTCAAGGGTAAAGACATCTCCGGCCCCAAGGCCTCAGGAGCATCACGCACCAGTGCGGTGACTGGGAAGTTGCATGCCCCCTTAAAGAGAATGCCTTCAACTGTAAAGTGCAGGCCACAGCTCCTGCGCTGCCTGCCCATAGGGCTGACGTGGGGCTCACGGGAGACGATGGCACGTATCGTCCATGAGCTGTAAAGCCTCCCACACAGGCAAATGAAGAAAAGCCAGCCTCCATCCTCCCCTGCCCTGGAGCATCCACGTACCCTCTCTGGTCACCCGCTAGCAAGTGTGTAGTTTTTCTCTCAGGCATTTAATATTAGATGGAGAGATCATGGAGCATTGAAAAATCAGCCAGTTTTTCTAAAGCTTTAACTCTGTTCAATGATGTTCCGCCTCATCATGCTAACAAGTCGACCCTAGTAAAGTGTTTAGACAGCAGTGCAGAGAACCGGAGGCTGCGGGGGTTGCAGGACCATCTTGGGTCCATGTGGCTCTAAATGGGATTGAGCCCAGGCCCTCGGGCCCCAGCCCCCATGTTCACTCTGCTCAGCTGCCTTTCTGGACCATCTCATCTACATAAAGGCATTTTCCACACCTTTCTCTTAGGTGTTTTTAGTGCACATGGAAACCCAAGATCTTCCTGAAGCCCAGTGTTGGCTCAGAGGCTCTGTCGGGGAGTCAGTGAACAGTGGGATCAACCACTTGGGCTCTGCATAAATTATGGTCCATTTTCTCTGGTCTTCTGCCAACAACATGTCAGCAGCTCTCTTTACTGTGAGTGCATTTCCCAGGGTCTTAGCTGATGAATTTGAGGAGAAAAACATTTTCCTCTTTCAAGAATCTATACAGCCTGAGTCCAGCAGCAAGTCAAGAAAGGGTCCCTGACCAAGCACAGGCGCACCTGCAGATGGTGAGCTGCCGGCACTGCGGGTACTCAGCGCTTACGCTGATTCAAGAATAATGGTTGCAGGTTTGTTCCAAAGTTGCATATTTAAAATAAATCAATAAAAATGCTGGCCAGGTGCGGTGGCTCATACCTGTAATCCCAGCACTTTGGGAGGCTGAGGCGGGAGGATCACGAGGTCAGGAGATCGAGACCATCCTGGCTAACACCGTGAAACCCCGTCTCTACTAAAAATATAAAAAAATTAGCCGGGTGTGGTGGTGGACGCCTGTAGTCCCAGCTACTTGGGAGGCTGAGGCAGGAGGATGGTGTGATCATGGGAGGCGAAGGTTGCAGTGAGCCAAGATCACACCACTGCACTGCACTCCAGCCTGGGCGACAGAGCGAGACTCTGCCTCAAAAAAAAAAAAAAAAAAAAAAAAGAATGCTGAGCCATATTGTTATTCATGCAAGAAAATTTTAATTTACTATTCAATCAGTAGTGCTTCAACCACATAAAGATACATTCACGGCTCAGCTTTGGTTCACATTTAATAGCAAAACGCATCTGAAGCTCATGTTTAGACATTAACTGATTGTTAAACATTCGCTGAAATCTGCCCCTAAAATAGGGTTGCCAAATGACTCTTTAATAGACATTATTATTTGGATAAGTGTTACATTAGTAAAAATATAGAGCAGATACTGAAGTTAGCAGGTGCCCTGCCCATTTCCTCCACTTCCCCCATCATTGACATACTAGTATGGTGCGTTTTTTATGGTTAATGAACATAGAAATTTACACATTATTAACTACATCCCTTTTTGTTTTTTGTTGTTGCTGTTTGTTTGTTTTTGAGACAAAGTCTCACTCTCACCCAGGCTGAAGCGCAGTGGCATGATCTCGGCTCACTGCAAGCTCCGCCTCCCGGGTTCACACCATTCTCCTGCCTCAGCCTCCCAAAGTCCTGGGATTACAGGCATGAGCCACCGCGCCCAGCCTATTAACTAAATTTCTTAATTGGCATCATGGATTAGTCTGTTGTGCCTTTTCAAGGTTTTTTTTTTTTTAATTTGCAATGTCTTTCTCCACCTTCCATGCACTCATGGGGAATCGTTCTGCTGCTGACAACCCCCTGTGCTTCACCTGTTACTCCTCCTCTCTTTTCCTGCTGAGTTCTTGCTTTTTTCTCTTTTTTTTTTTTTTTTCTTTCTTTTTGAGACCAGTCTCACTCTGTCGCCCAGGCTGTAGTGCAGTGGCACGATCTCAGCTCACTGCAACCTCTGCCTCCCATGTCCAAGTGATTCTCATGCCTCAGCCTCCCAAGTAGCTGGGATTATGGGTTCCTGCCACCACATCTGGCTAACTTGTATTTTTAGTAGACACAGGGTTTCACTATGTTGGCCAGGCTGGTCTCAAACTCCTGACCTCAAGTGATCCACCCACCTTGGCCTCCCAAAGTGCTGGGATTACAGGCCTCACGTGAGTCACTGCACCCTGCTGGAAACAGCTGATTTTTTTAATTGTCTCTGGAGTTCGCCTTTTTACAAAATGACACATGGTTTGAATCAGAGTATGTAGCTTCTTCAATAGACATTAAAGATCATGCCATGTAGGTCCATGGTGCCAGCACCTTGCTTGTGAACGTCCCAGCCTCCAGAACTGTGAGAAGGAAAAATCTGCTGTTTAAACCACCTAGCCCATGGTATTGGGTTTTTTGTTGTTGTTGTTTTTGTTTTTTTGTTTTTTTCCTGGAGACAGGGTCTCGCTGTGTTGCCCAGGCTGGAACGCAGTGGTGAGATCTGAGTTCATTGCAGCCTTGACTTTCTGGGCTCAAGTGATCCTCCCATCTCAGCTGGAACCACAGGCACACACCACCATGCCAGGCTAATTTTCCTTCTATTTCTGTAGAGATGAGGGTCTCACTATGTTGTCTAGGCAGGTCTTGATCTCCTGGCCTCAAGCAATCCACCTGCCTCAGCCTTTCAAAGTGCTGGGATAAGAGGCGGGAGCCACCACACCCAGCTGGCATTGTTCTAGCAGCCTGCACTGACTCTGGCTGATGCTTGCAGAAGACACTGGTTGGAGAGGGCAGACAGGAGGTGCAACATCAGGCTTCAAGCTGTGTGAAAAGGGAAGTTTTGCCCAGCAGCAAGTTCTCTCTGGATTAAGGGTTTTATGACTGGCAGCCACAGTGAACTAGAGAGACGTGTCCTCCAGGGAAAGCCTGCACCTCCCCCAGGGTGTCGTCAGTGCTGGCTTCTGGGGACTTTGACCACTGCTTTCCATCTGGGATTCTGTGTTCACAGGGGAACAAAAAGCCTGAGAAACTCCACACGCGTGACTTGGTCTCCATGGTCTCTTCTCTCTTGTAATTGTAGGTGGCCTCAGGAAATCAGCCTGTAATCTGGGATCACTGACTTGCTGCTGAAAAATCCAGATGGAAAGAAAGGCAGGGTTTTCCTGCTGGCTTCAGTCTGGAGATCTGACTCCAGCTTCTGCTGGGCACGAGGCGGGCGTGGTGGAAGGAGCAGTTTTTGCAGGTAAAGAACCGTGGCCTCATTGTACAGTCCCTGGAGCAGCCATGTCCCTCTAGGTGGGTGGGTTTGTGTGCATGGGGCTCTGGGTGTCTGCGTGGGTGTCGTGTGGTGTGACTGTGAATGTGAGTTGGAGTGTGTGGGCGGGAGTGTGTCTCCTCGGGGGATGTGTCACACCTACAGAGCACAGGTGCCGCGTCAACATTCTCCAAGGGAACCCCACCGCCACTGTGTGCTTTCCACACATTGACTGTGTTCATGGCTCACCACAGCCTTGCCCAGGGGTTCGCTTTCCAGCCGCATAAAATGAGGCACAGAGAATGACCCACGCTCCTGAGCTTCTCTGTGAAAGAGCTGCAGGGTGAGTGGTGGGGGGTCATGTGGAAGCTCAGCACGACTGGGTGGCATTCATCACTCAGCAGCGGGCTCACTGGTCACACTTCAGGGGTGATTCACCCCCATGCCTGTGCCTGGAAATACCTGGGCATGCGGAGTTCCAAGACACCACCCAGGTTAAAAGGCAGCCCCTGTGCTCACATAGCCCAGGCCGTCTCTTGGTCCATATATCACAGATTTTCACCCAGCCATTAGCCTAAAAAGCCCCAGTCATGGAAACAGAGTAGAAGGGTGGCATCAGAGAGTGAAAAAAATGAAGATGGTGAAAGGGCACAAAGTTTCAGTGATGCGATGAGTACGTTCTGGAGACCTGGCACACAGCATGGTGACCACAGTTCATAGTGATGAACTGCACGCTTGAGATCTGTGAGAACGTGCACCTCGAGTATCCTCACCACACACACAAATGGCAACAATGTGAAGCGATGGGTACATTCATTAGCTTGATGGTGTCATCATTTCACATTGTTTGCACATATCAAAACTTCATATTGTATACTTTATATATACACATTTTTAGATTTTTCAATTATGTCTCAATAAAGCCAGGAAAAGATCCTCAGAAATATTTAAATTCCGTGAGCTACCCATGAACACGGATGAATTAGAACCAGCAGGAGCCCTGGTGGTCAGTGAGGCCCATCAGCCTGGTTGAAGCTCCCTGGTGTGGCCGAGTTAGAGCAGCAGCTCCCGGCCCACACCTCCCTCTGGAAGGAGCCGCCCTTCCTGCCTGTGTGAGCAGGAGTGCCCCTGACCAAGGAGCACACACGTGGGATGGAAACGCAAGCCTGCGAGCAGAGCTATCGCATGGGAAACAGCGGGTATTTTTAAATGACCTGACATTGTATTTTCAAAATATCTTAACTGATTATCTTGAAGAAATAGGCTTAGTGAATAAATATAATACAATATTTTCTGGGGAATTAGACCCAGGACCCCAAAGTAAGATTGCTTTCCATCAATCACAAAACCTTATGTGACAAAGGAGAAATGCACTGGCGGCATATGCAGGTCCCTGGAGGCTGAGGTGGTCTAGGGAGACGTCAGGGACATACTGGCAATTCAGTGGCAGTTCAATGTGGCGCAAGAGGTGAGGGGCGCACTTGTTGCATCACGGTGTAGAGTTGGGCACAGGGGAGACTGAGCATTTCCTTTTTTTTTTTTTTTTTTGAGACAGAGTCTCTGTCACCCAGGCTGGAGTGCGGTGGTGACATCTCCGCTCACTACAAGCTCCGCCTCCCAGGTTCACGCCTTTCTCCTGCCTCAGCCTCCCCAGTAGCTGGGACTGCAGATGCCTGCTACCATGCCCGGCTAATTTTTTGTATTTTTAGTAGAGACGGGGTTTCATCATGTTACCCAGGATGGTTTCGATCTCCTGACCTCATGATCCACCCACTTCAGCCTCCCAAAGTGGTGTGATTACAGGCTTGAGCCTCCACTCCTGGCCCATTTCCTGTTGATTTAGGAGTCTCTAGCTCCATACCTCAGGACTCTGAGCCTCATCCCAGTCCTGTTCCTCTTTTCCCAGCCTCTTCCACCCAGGAGGATGGCCCAGCAACAGCTGAGCCCATGAGACAAACCTACCACGCCCATGCATGCCAGTGCTGCGTCCATCTCAAGCTAGGGCCCCGAGTCATCCAGAAGCAACACTGCCAATACACTGCCAGCCAGCCACTCTGTCCTCCTGGCCTGCTGAGAGGCTGCTGGAGGAAGAGTCCCACCTCACAGCAAGGAAAGATTGCTTGTTTTTGTCCAAAATAGACATGACGCTTGTTTCATTTCATTTCAAATTGGTTCATATATGAAAATCTGGCAATATACATTAATATGTGATACCTACCGTTTCCTGACAAGGCAGAGTCAATCATGAATGGCAGCCTCAGCTTATAAACAAACTGCCTGGGAGAGGGCCTGTCCTCAGCACCTGTACTTCTTTCTTCTGGGACTGAGAATTTTCCAACTGCCACCAAAATAGACTTGGGAGACCCATCCTCCAGGGAAAGCTCCTGCACGTCCTGCAGGTGTCCTCACACTCACTGCGGGGTTTTGACCCAAACACAATTTCCCATCTGTTTTTCTAAAGCAACCAAGAGAACAAAAGACCTTTTCCAACAGCACACAACAGCACATGAGCCTCAGTTTGCTGGTCTGTGATTATGATACAGAAGCGCTGGGAAGGGAAGAACATGGTCCCTTTAAATGATATGGAAAGGGGGAAGGAAAGTGCTGGGGAGAGGAGGGTGAGGTCCCTGGCTAGGGCTCCACCCCTACAGACCTAGGTGAGTACAGGCACTCCTGCCTTCGTGCCCAAATGTTGCATTTCCCAAGACCACCCTGGCCCACCACATCCCCATCCTGTGCCTATAAAAACCCGAGACCCTAACAGGCACACACACACAAGCGGCTGAACGTTAAGAAGAACAGATTGGGCAAAAGAAGACACAGAGGCAACTGGACGCTGAGAGAAGCATATTGGTGGAGGAACACACAGGGGGCTGGACGTCGAGAGGAACGCACTGTCAGGCACCAGCACGTGGGCAGGCCACCTACAGAAGCAGAATTATGTGGAGTTTGGCCAGGGTGGTTAGAGAAGAGCCCACCACTGGAGAAGAGTCAGGCTGCCAATGGCCCGACTCCAGGGGAAAACCACCTCCCTTCTGGCTCCCCGATCTGCTGAGAGCTACTTCCACTCAGTAAAAGCTTGCACTCACACTCCAAGCCCACGTGTGATCCAATTCTTCCGTACACCAAGGCAAGAGACCCCGGGATACAGAAAGCCCTCTGTCCTTGTGACAAGGTAGAGGGTCTAACTGAGCTGTTTAACATAAGCTGCCTATAGACGTCAAACTAAAAGAGCAAACAGTAGCACACGCCAACTGGGGCTTCAGCCGTAAACATCCACCCCTAGACACTGTCGTGGGGTCAGAGCCCCTCAACCTGCCCATCTCTATGCTCCCCTAGAGGTTTGAGCAGCTGCGCACTAAAGAGGCAAAACGCACCCCCATCGCACACCTTGCGAAGGGGACAAGGGAACCTTTCCGGTTTCAATTACAGATCATCCCAAGAGTGAGTGAAAATGGGGCATGTTCTGGAATCACTCACTTGCTGAGAAAAAGTCAAGGCGACGTGGAAAGTGGAACTTTCCTTTTGGCTTTAGTTGGAAAAGCCTCCTTGATTTTGGGTTCCTGTTGGGGGTGAGGATCAGGGAAGTGGTAACGGAAGTTGATTTTCCAGATAAAGAGTGATGGCCATGTTTCAAGGAGCAGCTGTACTCCCCTTCGGATGGTGGGAGGCTGGCGTACGGGGCAGGTGCTGTGTGTGTGAATGTGTCCGCTGTTCTCCGAATGTGCCTGTGTAGTAGTCCCTGGATTCATTTCCCCTCTAGCAGCATAGCCACTACTGTCAGTTTCCAAATGAAAAACTCCAATCTCCACGATTGCAAGTATATACGTATTAGGAGATATATTTAACATTTATCCAATTTTACACTTTATACGTGTGCAGTTGATGACACTCCAGGCTGTGGCACAGGGCCAGGGGAGATGAGGGTGGGCTCCTGGGGACAGCGAGGTGTTCCCTCCCCTCTGCTGCCGCTTCCCTAATTTTCCAACACAGGGTTTGCAGGGCCATGTTCTTCACTCTGCTTACAAGTGGCCCCCAGCTGTGAACCCCTCTAGGACCTGGATGTGACCCACTGTTTAGCCCCCACTAGGGCCTCACAGAATGACCAATACTTGTGCCTGTGCACAGGAAGTGCCTATTAGATGAAAGGTAACACTTGTCCATTGATAGCTGCTCTGCAAGGAAAAACCAGGGGAGGGGAGGTGATGTCTCCCGCATCTCTGGATCCCAAGTGCTATGCTCTCCAGGGTGGCACTCATTAGCCAGGGGTGTCTATTTAATTTTTTTTAAATGTAATATCTAGTCTTTCATCATACTAGGCACGTTTCCAGTGCCCAGTAGCCCTGCACCCAATGCAGAGAGAACATTTCCATCCACACAGAACAGTCTTGCAGCAACAGCTCTGACCTGCCACAATTTGTTTATTGGATCATGGACCTGAAGCCTGCCCATTGCGGTTGGAGCCCCACATTGATAAGGCTGGCGGTGAGAGCTGTAATGATCCGGAGGACAGGGGAGAGGCAGGTTGAAAGGGAGTCCTCTCTAGATGTGAAAGTTTGCAAATGTGAGCAGTGACTTGTTGAAGGCCTCTGACTCGAGAGCCCAGGTAAGTTCTGAGAAGGCAGAGGACGGAGCAGGGAGTTGCTGTGGGAGCCAGCGTGGCCTCTCCTGCAGCAGGGAGGCTGGGTGAGCTCCTCTGGGTAACACCTTTCTTGCTGGTTTGTGTCTCCAGAGTTTGGCCACAGGAGACATGATTCCAGCAGTGACAATGAAGACACTCCAGGCAGATGTGCACACTGGAGAGAGGGCGCCATGAAGAGGCTTCCCAGGGGCAACCCAGCCAGGCCTGCTGCTTCAGAGATGAAGAAGGAAGAGGGGGATGAAATCGGAAAAGAAGGAAATATGTGTAATATGTAAAATGTTAAGCGATTATGCCTGTGGCCTCTGAGTGTCAGGTTTGTCATCTTTTCTTGCTTTGCTTCTCAAACATCTTTCCCACATGACCTGCTCTTTTGTGCCTCTGCCACCACCAAATATCAAACACTAGGGTTTTGTCGGTTATCATCTCTTGAGAACTGAGCATAGAGAGGTTGGGCTGGGTTTGGTGCTGGCCTGCACTGCAGGATATCCATGGGCACAGCTCTCTCCCAGACACTAGAACCTGGGGACCCAGCTCTCCCAGTGCGCGTCAGGTGGGGGTTGGACGTGGACCTCTCCCATCTGCACTCCCAGGTCTCATAGCAGCAACTTGGTGTTTCTGTCCCCTCTGCTCACTTCTGGTTTAACAACACTCCTGCGGTTGTGGAACTTCAAGAATCAGCCTCAATGTGGAGCTGTTACAGCAAACTCAGCCCCTTCTATGATGACCTCTGGAGCTGGGCCGGCCCCTCCAAGTCCTGAAGTGGGTGGGGGGCTCGGCCTTCATCACTGCACACAACTTGGCCATGGAATACAGGCTGTTTCTGGAAGAGCAATTGTGAGTGACCCCTAATCCAGCTGCAAGACCCATAAGTCATCTCAGATGACACTGGTTGACCAGTAACAGCATTTAGGAAAGCATGTTCAGACCTGAGGAGCCATCGTGATGGACACCGTCATTCCACTAATGTCCACCTCTTGCACTGCCTAGACATGCTCATTTCATGGAGTAGTTTCTCCAGGAATCTCTTTGGCCTTTTTTCCCCAGAAAAAAAAAAATTGTCAAGAGGTTATCAGTGGAAAGAGCCACAGGCCCTGCTGGTCTCCAGCTGTAACTGACGCTCACTGCCCTCCTCCCCCACTGCCCTTCAAGCTGCCCCTGCCAGACACTGAATGTGTGTCCACAAAGCCATGTGTGGACATCCTAACCCCCAGTGCGATGACCTCAGGAAGCACAGCCTCTGTGCAGAGATTAGGTCATAACGACTGAGCCCCGCCAAAGAGCCTCCTGTAGCTTCTCCCATGCCCACCCTGCAAGGACACAGCAGAAAGACAGCGGCCCATGAAGGAGGAAGCTGCCCTCATCCGGCATGGCCTCACCCACTATCTCCATGTTGGACTTCCCAGTGTAAGTAAATTTCTGTTGTGTGCGCGCCATCTAGTTTACGGAATTTTACAACAGCACCCTACATGGACCATCTGCGTCACTGTGGAGAGACTTGCTGTGCCACGGAGCACAGTAACACCTGGCCTCCTGCTTGGGCTGGGCTGCGTGACGAGAGGGCAGCCTTGTTGCCAAGCAGGGAGCCTAAAATCAGACAGGGACCCTGGGCCCCGGTTCCTGGTGTCACCTATGAGACCCTGGGCTGACAGATTAGATTGGGCTTCTGTTGGATGCAGTGGGCAGAGTGACTGGTGATGACGGTCCCAGCAGTCCAGCCACAGGGGAGTGTGACCAGCCCTCCAGGAGCTCTGGACAGTGATGCTTCCTGAGTTACCACAGCCTGGGAGGCCGCTCCTGAAAACAGATGTGAGACCAAAAGTTCAGGAGAGGAGACGGGGCAGGAAGGCTCAATGTTGCCTGCCCTCCCCCAGCACAGAAGCTCCCCTGAGCTGTGCAGGCAGCCAGGACCATGAGCAGGAGAGGAGCCCGGCCATGGTATAGACGGCCCATCGCAGTGCTGTTCTAGACCTGCTCCCGCAGGGCCACCCCCAGCTCCCGGGGTCACACCAGGTCCCTGCAGGGTAGGAGCTTCCAGACAGAAGAGCTCCCCTCTAGGGGACTCACAGGACAGTCTCTGCTACTGAGTTGCTGCACATCAGCCACCACGAGCTCATGGTACCCGGGCCTGGAGCTTTCCCAGCTGTCCTGGCTCTGCAGAGCCCGGCCCGAAGTGCCTGCTGGGGTCCCAGGTGCTGTACCTGCTCCTGCAGGTCTCTCCTGTTCCCAGTGAGCACCACACAGGCCAGTGTGGAGGACTCAGGAAGACGAGCAGCAGCAACGCAAGCAGAACCATGAGGGACTGCCCAGGGAGAAGTGGGAAGGGAGCCACACGGCCCCTTGGCCAGAGAATCTGTGCAAACGTTTAATAAGCATATGATATGTATCGAGCAGTTTGAGTCTAAAATGGAAAATTAAGTCATCATGCTCTCTCATTACACAAACACAATGATGGCCCGGAGGGAGTCGAGCGGCAGGAAGAACTCTTGACAGGACACAGACAACTACACCTCTGAGATCTGCTGCCAGGAACACAACCGCTTTGCAAATGCGTGCTCACTCTTCCCCATGTAAGATATTACATTCTGCTGTTAGTGAACTGCCCGAGAGAAACAAATATGTGTGTCTACACAATGACTTATAGAGGAAGGGACATTGCAGGATTGTTCATAATGGGTTAGGCTAGAAACAACCTAAGTGACTGCCAGTAGGTGAATAAATGAAAGTATGTCCACAAAATGGAGCCCTGCACAGCATCACAAGACACATGACCTGAGTGGATCGCAAAGCTGTTGTGCTGAGTGCTAGAAGGTCGGTACAACAGAGGACATGGTACATGTTCCTACCGAGATGAAATCCTACCCAAGAGAAATCTAATCTATAGTGACAGAAAGCAAATTCCTAGTGCTTGGGGCCAGGGTTGGTGAGACAGTCACTGAAATTTGGCATGAGAGATGTTTATGGGTGATAGTAACAGTCTGTATGTTCATTGTGGAGCTGTTGAAAGATTCCCCCCCCCCTCTCTACACACACACACACACACACACACACGCTCTCTCTCACATATATGTTTATCCATTTTTACATTAGTCATTTCTCATAAGCTGTGCTCTTAATATGGACGCATGTGATTTTATATAAATCCTACCTCCATAACATTGATTTAAACATAGAATAGTACTACTGTGCTGAAGATGAAATTAAAATGCATCCTATTTTTTTCAAAAAACTGTATTTCTTGAACAGAGAATATTGATATTGATGGAAAATATGGTTAACAAGATGGAAAAACAGTGGAACAACGCCTCCTGTTTCGTGGTGCATGCAATCTAAGATATTTTTCTAAAATGCCTTTGACATTTGCAGTCATCAGTCCTGGGCTCTAGTCCTGCAGAGCGGACGTCCTGGACTTGCTGGCCAAGGAAGCCAAGAGGAACAGCCTCTTCTGACCTTCAGAGCCATCCTACCCATGGAATCACGAAATCCAGATGGAAGGAGCTGGAGTAGAGTGGAAGACTCAGGGTGGAAAGAAGATGTTTTATGGATCGCTGATGGAGTAGAAAGGAACTGGAGGTAAAACACGCCAGCCTGAGAGGATGCCAGAGTTTCCAGGACTGAGCAATGGGATGAGGCTTGTCTCTGGGGTGGGCACAGCTGTGACCCCTGCTCCTGTGTCTAGCCTGTGCAGGATGGAGAAACTGTCCATTCACCCACCCCAAGGCTAAAGAAATGATTTTCTATTACCCCAAGGGCAACTGCACCTACAAGTTTCCATCAAAGCAGACCATGGTTGAATCATGGAGAGGTGGAGAAAAGGGGATGACATCTCAGGAATGTTAGGCCTTGTACCCTGGGTTGGGGTGGAAGAACTTCTCAGCAGAGGTGCAGCCTGGCTGGAGTGGGGGCAGCCCTGCCCTGACAGTGAGGGGAATTCAGGTCTTCCATTCCCATGGCCTTGAGCACCGTGTGATCGGCACTGAGGCTGCTGTCCCGGGTCAACGTCATCATCCACCTCCTGCACTTACTGCAGCCCAGAGAAGCTCTGGGAGGCTGAGCTGCTGACTGGGAGCCGAGGCCTGCCCTGGGATTCAGAGCAGGCTCATCCCAGCAGAGAAGATGTTGAGGCATTTCCCGGGTGGCCCTGGAGCAGGACCCCAGTTAATCGGGATGTGGCGGGTGTTCTCTGCGGGTGGAGATTCTGCCTTCTGGAGGCTCAGCCCTGACGACCGCTGGGTCAGCACAGGCTGAGACCTGACCTCTGGAGGGATAGAGAAGCTGGAAACTGCAGAGTCCAGAATAATGTGTGCACGGAGAGAAGAGGGGTGTGTGGGGACAAGAGAAAGAAGAAGGGAGGAATGACCATGCCCCTGTGGCCTCTGGGAGTCGCTCCCTCCAAGGCAGGGTGTGAGTGGCCTCCATTCCTCCCAGCACCTCCCCACACCCAGGGGGCAGCTCTCCATGCAAATCCAGCCCTGGGCTGGTTCTCTGCGAGACCTGTCTTGGAGCAGTTTATGTTTTAGGTAGGGAGGAGGAATGCAGAGCAGATGAGCCAAGTGTTAACAATTCCACTTCCTCAGAGTGCCAGGCCACACAGTGACAGACACCATCCACTGTCTTCCCTGCAGGTCTGGGCTGGAGGCACAAGACCCACAGCTGCGGGGACTTCAGGTCTCAGGAAGCTCAGGGCATGGGAAAACCACACAGACCCACCTTCCTGCTCCACGTACCACAGCCATGCCCACTGTGCCGTGCCATCACCAGATATCTCTCAGTAGGTGACCAGGAGAGATTCTCACTCGTGCAAGGGACTTCAGGGGCCTGAGCCAAATGGTTTGCGTGGCTGAGGTACTGTCCTGGGAGTTCTAGGGAAACTGATTCTGGAGCTAAAAAATAATGACACGCCGCGCTGAGAGACGCCGCCCACCCTCCACCTGCTGAGGACTTCAGCTCTCACCTTGTGTAGAGCCTGAGGCCACTCCCAGGGAGGTTAGTTAATTAACTGGAAAGGAGCCAAAAAGGAAGAAAAAAGAAAAATAATAAGGAAAAAAATGCATCGACAGCCTCCATTTGCAAACATTCTCGGGCTGGATGAATGCAGCATTTTTAGGAAATGAGCAATAATTTACTGTCTTGTTAAAGAGACTGACCAAGGGTGCGGAGCAGAGAGCCGGGCCATGGGGCTGAGAGGAGGAGGAAGGCTGTGAAGGGCTGTGTGCTGCTCTGATGCCTGGAGATGGTCCTTCCTAGAGAGGAGTCCCTGGAGAAGGGAACCCACAGCAGGAACAGGGTCACATGTCTCTAAATCCTTA